TAATTTTAAACAGGTCCTTTGGAAAAATTGACTGGATTATCAAAATTCTGAATACCTGAGCTAACACTACTTTGGGGCTTTAGAAAAACGTGGGCCTTTATAAGAAGTTTTTCTGCTAGAGGGAATATTTTCATAACTCACAATTCCAGTGAAAGACATGGGAAGGTACCTTTCTATATAGGCTATACGCCAACTTGGACCGATTTCCCATCCCATTATATGCCCATGTTCAAAATTTTAGCCATCTAGGTTTATTACGTTGCATCTTAAATGATAATAGGTGTGTCTGGTTACCCTAAAATTTGTAACAATTGTTACAAATTGTTACTGGAAGTCGTCTGTTAACCCAAAAGTTCTGCAAAAGAGAGCGGTTGGAGAGAGACATTTTGACAGTTCTTTCAGTGAGAGTTTGCAAATTCTTGCTGGACAAAGGTGTGTCTGGTTACTTTTCCTGCAGGAATTGTCCAGCAACATCTTTCTGAGAGAGTAAGGTAGTTTTATTCTCTTTTGCAAGGAAAATGCGAAAAGTAAACAGACGGCATTCCTGCAGAAGCTTGCAACTAATCAGCTGTTTTGTCAAAACAAATCAATTTGTTCTTCATTAAAAGAATTAAAAGAAAGGAAGCACACCAATTTTCAAAGTTTTATAAATAAAAAGAAAATTAGCAATAAAATACAAATATGAGCAATAAAAGAAAGATAGATTTTATGTGTTCCCCGGAATTCTTTAAATGTGTTGCTAATGGCGATTGTCTAAAAATGTTGGAAATAGTCTTTTATTTCGTTATTACATATTAATATTTACGTTTTCCACATTTTTTAAAGTTGTTCTCCAAAAACAATTAGTCTTTCAAATTCCAAAAAAAATATTTTCATATTAAAATCGCAAAAATAAATAAACAAACAATAGAAAACATCTGATTGAATGTCGATAAATGAGAAGAAGAGGAGAGGAATACCGTTTGTTTACTTTTCGCATTTTCCTTGCAAATGAGAATAAAACTACATTACTCTCTCAGAAAGAAGTTGCTAGACAATTCCTGCTGGAAAAATAACCAGACAAACCTATTATAAGTTTGTCGTTCCTTTTGTAACTTATCGAAATTAGGTGTGTCTGGTTACTTTTCCAGCAGGAATTGTCCAGCAACTTCTTTCTTTAATATTTACGTTTTTCACATTTTGTAAAATTGTTCTCCAAAAATAATTAGTCTTACTAATTCCAAAAAATATTTTCAGATTGAAAGCAAAAAATAGGCAAACAATAGAAAACATCTGATTGAATGTTGATAAATGAGAAAAAGAAGAAGACTTGCAAGTGATTGCAAGAAGAAATTTGTCCAGCAAGAATTTGCAAACTCTCACTAAAGAACTGTCAAAATTTCTCTCTCCAACCGCTCTCTTTTGCAGAACTTTCGGGTTAACAGACGACTTCCAGCAACAATTTGTAACAATTGTTACAAATTTTAGGGTAACCAGACACACCTAATATACCCAGCATATTATGTGTGGTGGAGGGTGTAAAAAAGATGTGTTATGCATCTGGCTATTAATAAAATTACTGAAGCAACGAAATACCAATGTTTTTTAAGATTCTGCGAATCGTTTTCGCATAATGAAATGTTGCATACTTTTAGGCATGTATACAAAAACGTGAAAAGAAAAATGTACCACTGTTCAGTTTTGAATATTAAGTGTGTGAAGAACATACTGTACCTTTAATTACCTTACCATTTCTATTGACCATAAAATCCACGCTGTAATGCAAAAAAAAGATGAAATCATAAACATATGTACATATGACATTCTGTAAATGTCATCTTTGCTTTTTCGATGGACAAAGGAAATAAATTACAAGTATTTTCTGTTTTAAATCTCATTGTAACAAATATTTTTTTTCTGTTTTTTTTTTTTTTTTGATTTTCATAATTTTTTCAATTGTATTACTAAATTAGCAAATTATTTTTATATATAATATATAATATGTGTACTTCTATATAAAGATCATAAATCTTAAAACTTTAAAGTATATATTTTATTTTTAAGAATTGTTAAATAAATTATATATCTAAATTGTTTTACTCTCTTTTAAATTTTGTTTTTTTTTTAATTCTAAGGGAAAAAATGATCTAAAACCCATATTTAATCACAATGAATTTAAAGTGAAAAATTTTAATTTGATTTAATTTTTCACAATATACACGATGTCATCAATCAATTGATCCTATGTATATAGACTTTTATATTGAAGACGTTTTATAAACATTTTCTTTTTTGATAGCTGCTTATGGAATATAAGGTTGGGAAATGTTTTGCTATTCGAGGAAATTTTTAGAATAAAGAAGAAAGGAAGATTTTTCTTTTTTAAGAAACTGATTGTATTTAAAGAATACTAAACTGGAAAAGGTGTTGTTATTGGAAAACATTCTTAGAAATAAGAATATATTTAAAAATAAACTTAAAACAGATAATTACCAATAAAGAATACTCCTCTTTTTCAAAGAATCTTTTTTAAACTATCGGAAATTTTTATTGTTTTATATGGAAAAAATACAAATGAGAATAATAAAAAGATAAGGCTTAGAAGATTTCTTTGGAAAAAAATTATGATCAGTGTTATGTTTTGGACCCTTTCTACTGCCTACCACAATGTAAAGAAGAAATTCCACTAAATATAATTACAGGAAAAACTTAGTAGAGTATGAAAGTAGAGTTAAAAGTAGAAGACAACTGTATCGGGGTTTTTTAAGTTTGCATCCCAAAGTAACCTAAATTAAGGCAGCAAAATCTATAGTTTTTGAAATTTTTAGATTGTGAATCCTTGGAATTCGTAAATTTTAGATAAATAGTGAGTGTCTTCGGCAATATTGCTGATAACACTACAAGGATTATTATTGTAATCAAACATTTTAACACATAAGCGAGTCATCAAAAGGATATTTTTGGGTCTTTTTTCAAAATAATCTTAGAAATTGCCTTAAAGGGTATCATATAGTCACAATAAAATAAAAAGAATAAATCTTGCCAAAACGCCAGGTATTCAAATATATTATGTGAATTCATGTAAAATTCTCCTACAATGCATCATTCTAGAATGAAACAAAAATATTTTTCATCAAATTCTCTCCGCCTTTTTTTAAGTTGATGCATGAAAAATTCGTTTTAGGCAGAAAGTGTAGTTTTCTTACTGCTAATGTTTCATTTTCCTAAGTCAAAAATCTCCCTCAATTCTTCATTTTTTGGTTGTGTCATAAGAAGAAATGAACTACATCAAATATCATGTTTTTTAACAAAAGAAGAAGAAGAAAGGTTTATAAAAATAACATTTTAATTTTCGACACATTTAGCACTTTCTTCCGAATTCGGTGCAAATGTTCCAAACTTTTTTTATCCTTTTCTATATTTACTAGAACCCCAATATTTCAAGATATATTCGCAAAATTTACCACGGGGATTCAAACAATTCAAAATAAAATTTGAATTACTTAAAAAATTGTTGGTTTAAAAAATGGGACATAGCGGCCCACTTTCTGAAATAGTTCCTTTAAAAGGGTAACTTTAGATTTCAAGTCACGTTTTATTCATGTTTCCATTTAATGTAGCCGAATTTCTGTATTTTAAGTTCTTAGCAAAATATTATCAGTATAAGCACAGAGGGGATGGATTTATGTTCAATAAAAATATGAAATTATGTTCTTCAAAAAATTTTCATTTGTCATTTCACTCTCTCTCATAAGTGTTCATTTCACATTTTCATAGAACAAAAATTAAGGCCATGGTCCCTGATTTTAGCTATTGCGAGAGTCTTATCCATATTTTTTAATCGCTTTTGAGCTAAAATTTGTATTTTAGTTTCTTAGGGGATAGAAAACCTTCCGTTAGAAGAGGGTTAAATTGTTGACCAAAATAATTCACGTGTTGTTAGTAACATTGCCGAAGACAAAATCTGAAAATTTAAAAAAAAAATGTAGAAGAGCGGGGATTATGTTTGCGATCTCAACTTTCAAAACACTATTTTTAGCTCAACTTATGGTTCGGATTTTGGAAGATGATAAGCATCACTAACTCCGTATGTAAACAAGCAAAATTGTCGCAATTGCGGCACAGAACGCATACGTTGAAAAGCCAATGCACCCAAAACGAGATACTGTTTAGTGTGGATTTTTGCCCATAGCTCCATTTTTCTTCAAAAATGAGCAAGGAGTGGGAAGTTATCAGCATGTATTGAAAGGATTTTTGTTCCCAAAAGGAAAAATTGAAGGGAAGGATATTGGCAACATTTAATTTCAACAGGGCGGCGCTACGTGCCACACAACTGAACCTACACTTGATTTACAGATATCCATGCTACGAACCATATTATCATTTTTTACTAACCATTAAATAGGAGTGTCATATCCAAAGATAAGATTGATTGCTCTCTTGCACCTGCCAATATTCATAGGCAATTCATTTGATCCATGATACAATTATATGGAGGGCTAAGTTCATAAGACATTCTTTAAAACTATGATGCAACGTGACGTATGCATTTTCGATAGGAACGCCTGAACTAACACGAGGCTTACTAACACAAAAGAGAGCCTTAAGATTGACACTCCTATCAAGCACGACTGGATGCTAGTCTTCACATGAACATGGTCACGAAAACACAAACATATATCGAATATCGTTTGATATTCGCTGCAGAGTACCGATAGCTGCCTGGATAAACCAGAATAGTTTTTGGATGCAGCGTCTTTTTAGGATACTCATTCCAAATTAAAATCTGTACTATCTAAGAATATCTGCACATACTTTAGGAAATGGGAGCATCGTCTCTGCTCTGCTCGGCTAAAACTGTGGAATTTAAACAGACGATTGATATAACCGACTCTGATCACATGTAGGTAATTTAAAAATAATGTGGATTAAATTTACTTGGAATAAATCTATGTCAAAAACTCACATATGTTACACACATGAATAAACATTAACAAGGACTTGTTGTTATAGAAATGATCTAGTCTGCAATTTGAACCAAAAAGAAAAATGATTTAAAATTAAATTTTATTTTTGCTTAAAATTTTTAAATTGGTTTTGTATGCGTATTTGTATATGTAAGGTAGATTCACAATATATATAAATATTAAGCGTTTAGTAAATGAAATAGAATACAATTCGCTGAGGCCAGACGTGTGATATTTGATATATGGATAATGTAACATAAAATAACAAGGATATCGTTATTTAAATTTCAATTAAAATTTCCTATTTTAAGAGTTTGTCAATAAATAACAAGTGATTCCGCGTTCGTTCTCCTGTCCTTTTCGGTTTTTGTTTAATAAGAAGAAAATAATAATATATTACAAAAATTTGTTCGGATCTCGATATATAATCCACATGGAGAAGAGATGTTAATAGATTTTGTTGTTGTAAAAAATGAAGAATGGTGGTGCATATAGAAAAAAGATACTGAGGTTATATAGTATTTCATACATATGTATATAACACGTCTTTCATTTTCGTTTGTCTTTAATCATTACCCAACACATCATCCCTACTCCTCCACCTCTATTTTATCCGATCATCGTCACCACCTGCACTAATAGTCTATATATGTATATTCAATAATTGTTAACTGGTTGCCGGTAATTGTTGTTTTTTATCCCACCATTCTTGTATGCTGTTCACCATTTGTTTGCGCCGGAAACGCAACGATTCTGTAATGCACATTTGTATGAATTTTGATTTCATATCATCGTCACCCTTGATCAAATTCAAATGCTCCAATAGCTGTGAATAATTCCGACCGGGCCGGCGAATATCACGGAATACTTGGGCCCGCAAATCCATATTGTGTTTTCGGGCTTGCTCCTTCTGCTCGTCGGTGAGAGGCAGTGGGGCCAGCGATACTGCCGTTGTCGTCGACGAATGATTAACATGATTTGAGAATGTATGTGAATTGACAGATGTGGCAGAGGTGTTGCCATTTGCCGCCGCCGCTTCTCTTTTTAAAGAATCGAAATTACTGCTAGCCAAAAAGGAACTTAAGGGAGTGACCGATGTGGGAGGCGGCATTAACGCCGTTTCATTATCTAATTTTGAACTATCGACAGCTGTGCTTGAATCTACAGATGCGCTGACTGCACCCGTGGTTGATGTCACGGGCAACGATGACGCAGAGTTGCCATTATGACACTGTTGCAGTATTCTGGAAATTTCTTGGGCATCGTTAATATCGTGCAAATGATGACTAACACCTGCTGTTGCTTGAACAACAGCAGATTGGGAGACGGGATGATGCACACCACTGCTGTTGCCAGGCAATGTTTGTGGCAACGTTTGAATGGTTGATGCTTGGGCGGGCATTACATGCGGTAGCGCTGATGAATACGGACTGACCGAAGGACTAGTTGCCAGTATGCCTCCATTTGTTGAAGACGACGGGGACGTCATAGGTAGACTGTTAGGCATTCCATAAATATTACCATTTAATGGTATCGAATGCACGGCCGCCAAGTGAGACGGTTGTCCCAGTATCGTGGGTGCAGGTGGTGGTGGGGTACTGGGTTCATGTGGTCCCAAAGCTGCTGCATAATTGGTCATATACGGATGTGGGGAAGAGGCAGGAGATTGTGGAGGCTGCTGATGACTTATCGGCTGCGATACCACCACCGTTGGCAATGACATATGCGATGAATGTGGACTCATATTTGGTGGCACAACACCACCCAGCTGGCCATTCACCAGTTGTGTTGTTGGTACTGTGCCGGCGGCATTTAGTAAGGAACCCGCAGGATTTAGAGAATCATTATTTTGGGGATTATCACAGCTACTTTCAACTCCAACGCCATTGATGAAATCTCGTACATACCCATTGAAAAATTCGGGTTCGGTGGCTTCTTCATCGGGAAAGTCGGGAAAGGCCACCACCAAGCGGTCGGGATCGCCATCTTCTGACATGCCAGACGACATCGATGAAGCATCCGAATCGGAGTCCATTGATTCCAAATCTGATAGGGAAGATACTGATGAAGCATTTGATGACATAGCGGAGCTGGACATTCCGGAGGAGGAACCCGGAGAGACACCAGAACAGGAGGGTGTGGGAGTGCGGGGACGGGAGTCTGTCGATGTGCGCCGAAATACATAATCCATGCGTATGGGACCAGCCTTACGTTTTCGTACCCTTGAAGAGTCCAATTTTTTGCCGGGAGCACCACCTACTCCACTAACGCCCGGCACACCCGAAGTCCCCGCTCCATTGCCCTTCATGGGCGCTGCCACATCACCCAAATCGGCTTCATCGACCATAACCATATGCTTATCCTTTTTGTAGGGATTTCCAAACATGTGCTGCCTCACATTGGTGGGTTCTATTTCACGCAAGGGATTGTCCTTGTTCTTCAAATACTCCTGGTAATTACCCATTTCGGCAATAGGCAAGCAGTGGCCCGAATCCTTAGCCACCAAACTGACCGGTTGCGGACGCATAAATGCCTCGCGCATGCGTCCGATCTCTTCAATTATATCCCGCCTTGGTATATCAAATGGATTGCGATATGACTTCGCCGATTGCTGCCTGGTTAGCTGGGGCACCACAACTGTGTAATTTTCCAAAGGTTCTATCTCCGAGTGCAACTTGGCAAAGCTGTCCCGTAGTAGCGGATGTCTAACCAGATCCCTTCTCAGTGGTACACCAGGATTCAGTTTGGCCGTTTCGACCTGGCGGTAGGGAGGTTTTGGTTGTTTCAGCTGTTTGTAGACCTTCATGCAAAGATTTTCCTGGTCTTGTTTCGCCGTGTTCTTGATGTGTTTCAATTGATTGGCTATATTCGGCGACAAATAGTTGTCAACATTGTCGGGCAACAGAAATTGCAACAGTTGGTATGGTACCAATATGTTGAGTAAAGCTTTACGCAGAAATGGACAATAGTAAGGAGGAATGGATCTGACGTAGGCATTAAATTTGTACATTAGGTCATTGGGAGGACTCATATTGTATTTGTGAATCAGATCGTGGAGCAGAGGCAACAGTGCAGGATAATTGTAGGCCAATACATAGAGATGCACTTGTGACGAGGTGGAGGAGGCCTTGAGATACCCAAATGGTAATTCGAAACCATGCATTCCGTTTGAGATGATGACCTGCCAGCATTTCTTCATTTCCCTCTTTTGCAAGATTTGCAGCGTCAGCGGACTAGCTTCAATTTCATATTTATCCACGGGGAAATTATGTACAGTCTGCGGCTCGTCCACGGCCGGAGTCACCACTTTTAGTTTGGGATGGGCATCACGTGGCGGTAATGTCGGCGCCTTGGGATCCGGCCAATACGGTTCGGGTAAGGGCCAATAGCCAATGGGAAACGTTTTTTGACTAATGTGTTTTTGGACATAGATCATTTTCTTCAGCGGTTGAAATACCAAATCCTGTAATGCCTCATTTGGCATATTATTGGGATCTTTGGGTATGAGTGGTTCAAACTGCAGCACCACACCTGGCTGTACTTTCTGCACCAGGCTCTCAATACATTGATTTAGTACATAGTGCGAACGGACTCGATATGAACGACCGCCCGTCACTTCACACATTCTCTCTATCGGTGAATCATCATGAGGCACTTTACCCTCGACACGTTCATCCATACGATTGCCGGACATACGCAGAACCAGTGAAAACAAACGCTGATCCCATCGAAACGGTTCCTTGGTGAATTTTGTGCCCGGTATTTGGGTATTCAGTGGCAGTATGATGTCCTGATGTACAACATTACGATTCGAGTAACGTCCACCATCGGTGATGACAATAATGACCGAAGGTTCCAAATAGAAGGGGCATCTACCCTGACCATACGTGTCAATACCAGATTGCATACGATTTAAATTCAGCAAATCAAAGGCATTCTTCAACGATTCGCCCATTGATGTCAGACCCGTTGATTGGAGATTTTTCAGTTCATTCATGAATGTGGCATGATTCTCCTTCCAGCCGGCCTTAACATTGGCAGGTGGTTCTTCGAATGTTAGCAACATATAACGATCGCCCAGACAGTCTTGTGTGCGCTGGCGGTATTTGAGAAAAGTTTCCACGGCGCCCTTGGCTATATCCAGATATGTTTTTTGTACGCCATTTACATAGGCTTTTTGGCACATGGACGACGATGTGTCGACCAAAAATAAGATAATTGTCATTTTCACACCACTTGTTGTTTGTGGCTTTTGGTCGTCGTAATTTACACGCACACAACTAAACACAACTAAATGCACTCTTAAGAATAAGGAAAAACGCAGGCGTTTTAGAAAGCCCGGTCGTCCAAAGCAATCCCAACAAAAGGGTTTTGTGTGTTTATAAGTCGCCTACAGCAAATATGTGATGCTAAAGTTGTGTTAATTTTTGTTCTCCTCCTGTGACCGTTAAAAAGTGCTTTGAAAACTTTGAAATTTTTTTCCAAAAAAATTAAATTTCTCCTTAATCAAAAAAAGATCTGGAGTGTATATAATTTGTTCTCTTCTTGATTCCTGCTTATTAGCGCATTTATATAATTTCTCTTTAACTTTAAATGGGCGTTTAAAACGCCCATTTTTTATTTGTTGTCATATCTTCGCCGTATGGAAAACATTTCTTCAGCTTTTTTCTCAAATACAACAAAAAGAAAATAAATTCAATATAAATCTGCAAAAAATGTAAGAGAAGAAAAAATGGAGAGAGAGAAAAAGGAAAATTGGAATTAATGACACAGTTACGTCTTTTGTTTGGCTTCTTTAATAATTTCAATATATATTGATATAAAAAGTTATGTTAGATTCAAATTTTCAAATTTTCTTATAAATAAATAACGCGTTTTTTGTATTTTACAGATAAGTTTTTATTACAAAAGAAAATATTTGTAAGTATAAATTGATAATATAGCACAATATAGAGAAAAGACTAAATAAAATATTGTGGGTTATTTTTCAAATGTGAAGCCTTCAGAATTCATTTGATGTAGAATTTACAAAAATTGCAGAAAAGGCCATTTAGTAAGGAGTTCGGACCCCAACCCGGACACGACCCTATTAAAACGATGTGAGTAAATTTTATCCCCTCTCTAACGCTATGAACAACTTTCCAATTCTTCGTAAAACAGCAAGGAGGTCATATGACAAAGCCAGTAGACCTAAACCTAGAACTATAAGGCAGACTTCAATAATTATAACAATGATAAAGCTAAAGAAGACTGAATGAAAATCTTGGATAAGCTGCCATACTTCGTAAAATACTGTATAAGAACCCCAAACGCAGCTATGGTACGTGAACCAACATTGGTCTAGGGACTTCTGATCTCCTATCAGGCATCCGCTTCAGTAGTTATAAGTTTGTAGTGAGCAATCATTAACAGCGAATGGTGAAAGGGTCATAAAATGATAACAAGCTACCCTAAACTTTTACAGGCGATCAACACCTGTCCAACTTTAAAGTCGCCCGGTCCTGATGGCAAAATACAGGCAATGTTGCAAAATGCATCTACTTCGGTGCAGATTATCTTGCAGGATTTTATTTTAATGTTTTTTTATCATGGTACAATAATATCAAGGTAGGGCTATGATTCCATATGATTTTTATTTTTTTATTTTCTTGGCTTAATATGTCATTTTTATTTGTTTACGTATGTGTTTTCTTTTCAATAACAAAAAAATTGTTCAGAAAATATTCAAATTCGGGTGTTTTCAAAATGTCTATTTCAACGTATGCATCGACAAAATCTAGAGTTTTTGTAGCGAAATAATCCTTTAGAGATATATAGTACATGATTTTGAAAAGAAGTGTTGACCTTTCATTAAGTTATCGCGGTTTTCAATTATTTATTCAAAATTAATGCAACAAGTTGTTTGATTTTTTTTTTTTTTTTGATACTAATTCTGACATTACAAGCCAAACAGGTAGACCTCTATACTTGCAAGTTTTTCAAAGTTGGCCTACCTTCTCTTCATTGTACCATGGGTTTTATTGGATTTTCTTACCCAGATTGTGAAAAGAGTAACGGTGACCTATATTTACAAAGCCGGGAAAACTACACGTATAATAACCACATTTCTGCACGCTTAGGTCAAAGATCAAACAGTGGAGAGTGTTTAAAGTGAAGTTGTCGGAAACATTAAGGAGAATATGAAAAATTCCAAGTTTTCATTGGCAGTTTTTTTTCAAAATAGAAGGGTTTTATACAATGCAAAACTCGGGTCGACCCTTAACGCTCTCTATGGCTCCGAAAGCAATTCAAGTTTGGGAATATAATAGCAAAGGCGCCCAACAGAATTCTCTCATCCCCCACTTTGCTGTTGACCAATTATTTCAGATCTAATGCAAAGTGCACTAGCACAGCTGTCTGGTTGGGCCTATTACAATGGTTTGGGAATAAGCCCTGGAAAAACATAACTAATAATATTCAAAATAAAACGTCATAGATGTATGTCACTGTGGTCTTACATATTCTGCTGACCCATGGGTGTGAGCTGTCTGGTTGGGCCCATGACAATGGAAAACCATGGTTGTCTCGTCTGGTAACACACAATTAAGTCTAGGTCGTTTATGTCCTAACTAATCTCAGTGCAAAGAGCCGCGTCCACACTAACAATCGAAGCTTTCATATGCACTGTTCAACTCAGTTTTAAACAGCAAAGAGTACTCGTTTTGACGGGAAGGACGAACCTTTCGCTTTTTGGTCATGGAGGAAATCTAAACATACCAATAGCTCAGAAAATCTTAGGTGAAGATTATGCAATTAGCAACTACATGGCTACTTTTATTCGACTTCAATTACACTGACGTAACAATGCCTAACTAAATTCAAGATAGGTGATGACATGGTACAATGAATTCAAGGTAGGGCCGAACTACCATATGATTTAATTTTTTTTTATTTTTCTGGCTTAATATTTCAACTTCATTTGTTTATGCGTGCGTATTCTTTTCAATAATAAAAAAATTGTTCAGAAAATATTCAAATTCGGTTGTTTTCAAAATGATTATTGCAACATATGCGTCGACAAAATCTACAGTTTTTGTCGCGAAATAAACAATAAGAGATATGTAGAACATGATTTTGAAAAGAAATTATGAACTATCATTCAATTTTCGCGGTTTTAAATTATTTATTCAAAATGAATGCAACAAGTTGTTTGCTTTTTTATTGTTTTGATAGTAATTCTGACATTACAAGCCAAACAGGTAGACCTCTATACTTGCAATTTTTTCAAAGTTGGCCTACCTTGTCTTCATTGTACCATGGGTGATGATACCGGCGCTGGCGTATTCTGCCCTAATCTAATTATTAGATGCCCATATAGAGATTCTTGGAACATAATTTTGCATTAGTATAGTGACATTGAGGCATTTTGAAGATATTTGACCTCACCTCTTGGCCACCGAAGCTAAAACCCATTCAGTGACATTTTATAATATTTATTACAAAAAAATCGAGCAAAAGACGTACACTTATTATTGGCTTCATTCTTTTGGAGAACCTTTGCATCTTTAACTTTGTAGGCAATAGTTTAGCGAAAACTTGTTAAAATTGCCACAAAAAAAAAATCAACAGATGCTGAGGCCTCTCGTTAACAATAAATATAATAGGATGAAATGAAAAACATTCAAAACTGACAATGAATATTTTATTGCCTTTTCTATCAGACCGTTGACTTTTATATTTATTGATAGCCTTGATAAGTTGAATATTGGATTGGGAATACCAAAAATTTGGTAACTATTCCCATTCTCTGTTAACCTTTCAACTTTCTTGAAGCGTCGTATACTAATACACCTTAAGTCTCCCGTTTCGGTACATGAAATATCTACAAAAAATTAACACAACATGACCCACTTGTGCAAATAATGGTTGACTCAAATAGACAAAAAATGAACTACCTTCATTATTAGTGCTCCGCTCCAAATGTAGGCATAACACAATGTTTATTAACATGATAATTATTTAGTAAAGAGAGGGTGCTACTTACCTCCAACTCATTAATGAGAGGAGAACAAAAACAAATTAAAGTGGTGCCAACGTTGTTCTACAAATGTCATCTTTACATCTTGCCAACGTCATAATGTCATTAGAATAATTTCTTCCGAATATAATAATCATTACATTATCCGTTAATCCATTACATCCCCCTTTAATCTAAGTGGTTTGCTAGTTTGCTCGTTGTTGTTAACTTACGGCGACGGCTAGTCAATACAATAAAAAATCTCAGAGAAAGAGTATATAGAGGAAGCATATGTTTTACTCTCACACATTGAAAGGAAGGGGTGCACATTAATGAAAAATATCTCAACATGTGCATTCGTATGCAAAAAAGCCCTAAGCGCAAGGGTTGTCAATTTAAGTTTATTGTTTGGTATTCCGATCAGATTGTTGCCGAGAAATTTATTTGCTTTTAACAGCAAAACATAATTTCAATGAAAATGCACAGGGGCGCGGGCAGACCAGAGATGTACACAAGGTGGAGGACTTAGCCCCCCCCCCCAAAAAATGGTTATTTTTTGTCGATTGTTCATTTTACATGGAAAGTTTAATTATTTACTAATATTTCGAGGCCCGGGAAAGGATATTTTAATTTCGCTAAGTTCGACCAGGCCAAATTGTTAATGCCCTCCCTCCATCATGGTATAAACAAAACATTATTTATAAATAACAAGTAAAAAAGCAGCTAAGTTCTGCCGGGTCGAACTTTTAATACCCATCACCATTTGGAAGGAACATGCAAAATGTAAAAAAGTTCTATTGAAATATGCCGGTATAATTTAAAATTTCCGAATATCAGGTGTTACAGTTACATGGGGCTGTATGAAAACTTGGACGGTCACATCTAATTATATGCTAGAGAAGGCGGTGCCATTTACGAACTCCAAATACCAAGTTTGATATTATTCTGTTAAATTAAATTATTACATGAATGAATTGAAATAAATAAATAAAACAATGTATCTAAATTCATCAAAGTACCGAATATTGCGAGGGGGTAGAGGGGGCTGCACGACGTCCTGGATCTCTACACAAAATTTTCTGTCATAAGAGGTAGAACCCATTGTGAACTCCAAAGACCAAACTTGAAACAATTCCGTTGAAAACTGTGACAAAAATCATCAAAATAGCAGTGTTACATTATAGGGTCTATACCAAATCTTGGATTTATATGCATAGTTCTCTGCAAGGATATTTCCTACATACTGGGAACACATATTCCCAATTTACATCACATTCACATTGAAATTGTGACTAAAATACTCAAAAAAACCTTATATCTGTCGGTACATTTATATGGGACCCATAACAAAACGTGGACCTATATAAACGATTTTCAATACCAAAAGTCCTGTAGACCTATAACACATCCGAGTAAAATGTTATCAACATAATTCATTTTGTTCAGAAACTAGAAGGGAAATCGCTAAATCGACATAGAATTTTATGCTGAACAAGAATATATTTTTCTAAAATATATATGGCAAACATGATATACCCTCCATAGTATAAAAATATCTCCATTCAATATTCGAGCGAATTCCATTTTATCTACAAATGCTAGAAAAATCGATTTGAGCATTCAGTAAAAGTTCAAAACAATAAATAGACCGGATTATACCCAGATATACTTTTAATATTCGCGAGTATAAAAAAGTAATCGACTGTTCGGAACTGGATGTTTTATAAATGTCAAAAACGGACCCACTTTAGAGGTTCATCATGTTTACCAAATGATAGGTCACAAAACCTTTCCGAAATGCTAGAGTATGTGTTATTATTTTTCCCAGCTCCTAACATATGAGTTTTTGAACCCCATCATGTTGATAGGTATATTTTTCTAAATCGGTTGAGAAAGTGCTGGGCTAACGCAGACCTTGAATTCGAAAATTAGACCAGTTATTATTGTACCCGAGTCTGAAAAAATAAATTTAAGCGGATCATTATTTGAGAGGATCTTTTAATAATTTTATCCCCACATAACAAAAGTAAACAAATGTCACATAACAATGGCAACTCTGACAAGGTTAAACAATTTCAGTGCTGTGAGAAAACAGTAACACAAAAATCTCAAACACACTCAACGCAACACAATGCGCTAACGCTGGTACTCAAAATTTAGAGTACTTTTTTGTTGTTTTTGCCTGTCAGCATGATGAGGAAAACAACAGCAACAACAAAATTCAATGAATAACAAATAAATTTGAATATCTTCTCTGATAGCGGAATAATTGTTTTGTAGTTGACAAAGAGAAGAGTGTCACAGAGTGTTTATTTTGACATCTCTGGCCCACTAATTCTCAAAACGACGACGAAAGTGAAACAAGAAAAAAACAAAAGACTATTTTTAACAATCAAAATGTCCTATACATGCACCGTTAGTTTTTGAAAAGCGAAATTGAAATATGTAAACAAATAAAAAAAGTATCGAAAATATGCATAAAATTCGTAGCTGGCAGGTGGTGTGGGTGGTTGGGCATTTGGACGATTCTATTTAAGTGTTTAAGGTCGCCACCGGTTGGATGTAAGTTTGATCAATGGACGCACGCAAACAATCAATGTTTATTATTTAAGGCAGTCAACAATACCGATGATCATGAGGGTGTCAAGTATGTTTACGAATAATCACGACCACAAACACTTTTTTGGGGATTATAATGATGCGTTTGCCTTTCTTATAACTACAAGATGTGCTTGCACAGAAATGGAAAATGACATGTGGTATGCAAATTGTTTCTTTTTGACATCAGAACCGAATAAACTGTATCCCATCGATGATAACGCAACACATGCTAATGCAAAACCTTTACCGGAGGGCACAAATCATTAGCATCTGTCACAATGACCCCCACAGTAATCAAGCTTACGACCGACCGCTGAACCCAACAGCAATAACAATAGTTTTTAATAAAATATCTTCTTGCGAATGTACGACGTTTATACGGCACAACAGTGCGTTTTATCAAACAAACAACATACCAGACACACACACCTCACCACCAGTGAGCGAGCGAGCGAACGAACGAACATCGACGTCAAACTTATTTGTTTTTGCTGCTGCTTGCGTTTTAATTTTGCGTTGAGTTTGGTTGTGCTCCCCAATCAAGAGAGTTGTAGCACCAGTAATTATGAAAAGCAAATTTACTTAAATTCTTTTTCACACAAATACTCTCGAAAACCACACACAGTCACTCACATTAAGTTTGCTTGCTCACTCGAGTAAAAAACGAGTTGTTGTTATTGTGTTTATTATATATGGTTGCCATTGTTGGGTTGGTTGGATGGTTAGCTTTGCGACGATGTGCTTTTGTATTCTTCTTCTTCAATAATCATAAAAATGCAATGCTCCACTCAATGTATATATGGCTGTTGTCGTGGGATATTTGATTTTAACAATTCAAGACAACACACTTCATACAAAACGCCGCTGCTCAGGTATTGTTGTGTCTCATCCAGAGGGCGAAGCCGATGTGAAATTCCCGGCGGCGGCGGCTAAGCACAAAAAAGCCGGCGGCGGCTAAAAGTCGACTGCAGCCGAAAGAGAATCGGCGGCGGCTAAAAGTCGGCTACAGTCTACTAACTAATTTGATAAAAATGGTTCGCCGACCGCATTGTTATCATGAACAAACAATTGTATTTTTATACCCTACACCACAAGGTGGTCAGGGTATTATGTCTTTGTGCATTTGTCTGTAACAGGCAAAAGGAAACGAGATAGACCCATAGTTCCTTTTGATGATCTGCATAGAATCACATTCTGAGTCGATTTATGCATGTCCGTCCGTCCGTCTGTCCATGTATTTTTGTAAACAAAGTACAGTTCGCATTTATTGCCATATCCAGATGAAATTTTTCACAAATCATTTGTTTGGCCCAAGGACGAACCCTATTGAAATTGGAGATAATTGGTCAAAATTTAGATATAGCTCCCATATATATTTTCGTCCGATTTGCCTTTTATTGTGCACCAAACGTTTAATATCAGCCCGAATAGTATGGAATTTTGCACATATTAGGCCTGAAAATAAGTGTGCCAAATTTGATCAGAATCTGTTCAGATATAGCTATAGCTCCCATAAATATTGTTCATCCGATTTGTTATTTTTGTCCTCCGCAGCCATAATATGCACTCTGTAAAAAAAATATTTGGGGAAATATATCAAGTGCAGCTCAGAAATACATTTGCTAAATTTTATCGAGATCGGTACAGATTTGAATATAGATCCCATATATAATTTCGTCGGATTTACCTTTTTTGTGCACCAAACGTCTAATAGTTGCCCAATGAATGGATGAAACTTGGCACTTCGTAACAACGATATTCAGGGAAATATATCAAATACAGCTCAGAAATATCTTTGCCAAATTTTATCGAGATCGGTTCCAATACAAGTCCGAATTTAAAAGATACAAATACTTCGGCATATTTAGTTCTTTGAACTTAAAATTATAATTATAATCATAGCGTGTATGATTGAATTCTGCCATAAACAATTTTAATTGTTATGCGCAGCACTACTAAATTAGCAAAGTGGTGTAGGGTATCATAAAATCGGCCCTGCCCGACTTTAAGACGTTCTTTGCTGGTTTAATATTGCAGAATACAGGCTGCTTGTCTTTGCATTAACAGAATTATTTAAATAAATAGTTTTTAATATATCTTTGGCACATTTTATAAATCTTTTATTAATACTTCTCCTACTTTTGATGAACAAGCAAAAACACAATGACTTTTTTGCAAACCATGTGGCTGCCACTCCATCAAAATTCGTAAATAAAAAAGGTTGCCAAAGGTTTTGTAATGGAAAACAAATAATATTAAAATACAAACATGCTGCATGCATTTTTTTCGAAGGCTTAGTCGACTCAGTCGTCTAAGAATTTGAGCCGATGAGAGCCGCATCCATCGGCGGCGGCTCAGATGACTTAAAAAAAGTCGGCGGCGGCTGTGCGCCGACTGCGAGCCGATCGGCTTCGTGCTCTGGTCTCATCTTCGCTCATTCTAGCTCGTCGACGAATCAACCAACCAACCGTCCATCCATCCAACAACAATAAAAACAATACAAGCAACAACCAACATCACACACAACGTCGTCATCTACTTCATAACTACACTCTCACTCACTCATTCACAACTCATTTGCTCACACAAAATATTAAAAAAAAAGTATAACGAAACAACAAAAAATATACTGCTGCTTACAACAAAAATTTATCACTAATCGCGCAGCCAACGGCGAGAACACAAATTTTCTCTTATTTGTTTTTGTTCCTCGAGTAAAAATTCTGTGTGTGTGCTTCTGCTGCGGTAGGTCTCCGTCGTTGTTGTTGATTGAACACTTCTTTCTCACTTCTCTCTTTTGTTATTTTTAAACAAAATCTTTTCTGCCTCCGTTGTTAGCGACGTTTACTTTTTGTACTTTTATTTCTTCTTTACCAATCTCGAATCGACCTTTCTCATCCAAACGTAAGAAACGAACTGTCAAACTAGCCATGCAATATAGAGCTGGCAGCTGGGGCAAACAATCGATGGCAATGTCGATAGAAACGATTCTTTACTTTTGCACGTTAATATCGATTGAAAATTTTGTTATCGTTATTATCGAATCTCATATCAAATCATTTCTTATCAAATGTTAATAATATTATAAAGCTACAGAAGCGGTTAAAAGAATTTAAAAAGGATGTAGATAAAAATAGTGATGGGAATCTGTGAGTTAAACAGACAATTGTCTAAACCAATGTTTACATTAAAGTTGAATTCATATAGTAATTGTCAAAATAACAAATGTTGTCTCTGTGACGTAGGCGTCCGTGCAGGAAGGAATTAAAATTTAAAAGTTCCTTTGAATTTTTCTCAATTATATCTGTATTTGTCATGTTATTACGTTTTTTTCTGCGTAACGTAGGCGTCCAGATAATTGTATGAATATTAATAAACTTGTTAATATGTTTCATTGAATTTCTCTCAATTATTATTTATGATGTTCTTTTATTTTTAAGACAAATTCGATTCTTATTCTTCATAATTGTTCAGTTCCTGAATCGGGAACAGACCAATTGTCTGTTCCTGAATCGGGAACAGACCAATTGTCTGTTCCCGAACTGCAAGAACGTTAAAGTTTTTACTACGATAACCGATTTTCCCTTTATGATATCGAAAAAATTGCAAAACTTATAGGTTCTGGAACAGAAAAAATGTTTCTTTTGATTTGGTGTTCTCAACAATAAACAAGTGTAACGAATACATCTTTCGAATGAGTAGTTTTTATTGAGAAGGTAGGCCAACTTTGAAAAAATTGCAAGTACAGAGGTCTACCTGTTTGGCTTGTAATGTCAGAATTAGTATCAAAACAATAAAAAATCAATCAACTTGTTGAATTTATTTTGAATAAATAATTGAAAAACGTGATAACTGAATGAAAGGTCAACACTTCTTTTCAAAATCATGTACTATATATCTCTAAAGGATTGTTTTGCTACAAAAACTCTAGATTTTGTCTATGCATACGTTGAAATAAACATTTTGAAAACACCCGAATTTGAATATTTTCTGAACAATTTTTTTTGTTATTGAAAAGAAAACACATACATAAACAAATAAAGATGACATATTAAGCCAAGAAAATAAAAAAAAATTAAAATCATATGGTATCATAGCCGTACCTTGATATCATTGTACCATTCCATAAACTACTATTTACATAACAGTCATGTCATTTGTCTAAGCCCAGGAAATAATAAAAAAATAAATAAAAAACTGAAAGATACATTCATGACAATAAATTCGGCACATTATTATTAAAAACCCCTATTCATACCTTAACTATTAGACAAATTAAACAATATGCTGCAATATACCTTGTCTGACCAAGGTCTCCACTTGAGAGCGTGGTAAATAGTGTTGGCTATTCTTTTTCAAATATATTACTTCGCCATCTTCCAATTCAAATTTACCAAAATCTTCTACGCAACGTACTTCAATGTATAATGATTTGGGGGGACGCAAATCGCCAGTTAAATCTATACCTTGACCATCACCAATGGATCGCATATACGATGCCAAGGATTTCGAATATTTGTTGAAAAATGTAACTTCAGGTTCACAAAGATTTGTTTTTATATCGGCTGGTATAATGGAACCAAATTCCCATCGCAATGCCTTAATGCGTTGCAAACGCTGATGCAAATACGAGAGCAGACATCGTTTGTTACGCTGCAGAGCGGCATGACGGAAATTCAATAGGGGCCACAGGGTACGATCACCTGATGTAGAGTAGTTGGCACTATAATAATGTTGTTAGTATTGCAATTGAAATAGTTTAAGGAAGAAAAATTCACACTTACGCTTGAGCACAATTTTCTTCAAATATGGCCTTTATCTCCTCCAACACTTGCCGTACACCGTCATCCTGTATAAAAAAGTAATTTGAATTCGAGTCTTTCTTTCTGCATCGATGCATAACTTACATCAAAAGGCGGTATTGTTTGTGAAGATCTTTGTAGTTCTTTGACCAGTTCAAACGCCTTATCGGCAAACATTTTATTAGATTTACTCATTTTCAAATATTGTTTATACTAATCCTGTTTTTATGGTGAAAATCTTTAAATCGTCGACTACTTCTTTTTTCGTTGTAAACAACAACCCTATTTATTTATTATTTTGGCGCCAAAATTTGCAATCTCCATCAGCTGTTTATCAAATCAAAAGTGCGTCTTTATTAAGGAGGTGTGTTTACAAAGTATGTCAGAGTTCAGTACACATTTCTTTGCTAAAATAGAACTATATCAATACATTTTGTCAAATGTATAAATATTTTCAATTATTGAATCTGTTTCAAACAATTTTACAACATATACTGCTTTTAAAAGTGTTTTTATGTGAATATACTTGACACACGTTTTATTTCAAGGAGTAACACAACGTGTGTACGATTGATTTGATGTATTTTCACAACATTCGCAAGCATAGGAAGATTAGGATAAACTTGTGACATAAAAAATTAAATAGCTTCAATTTGGTAAATAAATAAAAAATGCCTGAAACAATTATAGCCGGCATTCCGGTTAATTTTCCATTTGAACCGTATGAAGTGCAGCGCGCTTACATGGAAAAAGTAATTATATGTCTAAGAGATGGAACGAATGGAGTACTTGAATCACCAACTGGAACAGGTAAAACATTAAGCCTTCTGTGCTCATCTCTGGCCTGGCTACATCGTCGTAAAGAAGAAATGAAAAACCAAATGCAAAAGGTGAACTCTTCACAACCGGATTTAAAAGACAATCCCCTTTTGGGAGAACACTTTGAAATTATGGCGCGCTCAAAGGGCAAAAGTAATTGGGGACTGCCGAAAATAATCTATGCCTCACGTACACATTCCCAGCTAACACAGGCCATGCAGGAATTAAAAAGAACATCGTACTCTTTTATGAGAGCTGTTGTCTTGGGTTCCAGAGATCAACTGTGTATTCATCCTGAGGTGATGCGCGAACTGGGCAATGCCAACAAAATACAAATGTGTAAATTACGTGTGCAGACCAGAACTTGTTCATTTCATAGTCGAGTTGAATCTCGCAAAGATGATCCCGACTTTCGCGGACCCTCTATTATGGACATTGAGGATTTAGTTAAAGTGGGACAAAAACTGAAAATGTGTCCTTATTATGCTTCCAAAGAACTTGTGGACGATGCTGATATTGTATTTATGCCCTATAATTATTTATTGGACCCTTCGGCGAGAAAAGCCAATAAAATTGAATTGAACAATACCATTTGCATACTTGATGAGGCACACAATATCGAAAAGATATGCGAAGAATCCGCATCAGTTAATATTCGATCATCCGATGTGGCGTTGGCCATTGAAGATACCACCCATATAATGAAGGCTATGAGTGAAGGTGATATGATTGATGGTGGAGATGAACCAAAAGATTTCACTTTAGATGATTTGGCATTGCTTAAGGAAATGCTATTGGAATTGGAAAAGGCAATAGATGATATTGTAGTCGAGAATACCCAGGATGGTGCAACATTTCCTGCTTCCTATATCTTTGATTTACTGGGCAAAGCTAATGTATAAAAAATTTACGAAACTTGAAGAGATTATTTTATGATATATGCGTATTTATGTTCCTTAGATTACCTATGGCTCATCCAAAGCTGTTGTAGCGCTACTGGATAAATTAATACAATATATGGCAGTACAATCACAAAATAACATGACACGCAAAGGTGGTAGTTATCAGAAGTTAAGTGATCTGTTAACCATTGTGTTTATTAATAAGGAAGATAGCATCGATAAAATCTATCGCAGTTTTAAAGTCCATGTACAAATTGAGGAAGAAAAGAAATACAATACTAAGGCTAACGCCAATCAATCCGGATGGCTGTCAAAGGGCAACACAACGAGCACTAGTAAAATGGGTAAAATAATAAACTATTGGTGTTTTAATCCGGGATTTGGGTAAGAAAATGCAAGTCTATACATGGTTTATTATTTGCAATAAATTTTGTTTAATTCCAAGAATGGAACAACTACTGAATACTAATGTACGTAGTGTCATTTTAACAAGTGGCACATTGGCTCCCTTGAAACCTCTAATAGCGGAATTGGCAATACCCATTGCACAGCGTTTAGAAAATCCTCACATTGTATCAGCGTCTCAGGTATATGTAAAAATCATTGGCTCTGGTCCTGACCGAGAACCTCTCATATCGAATTATCAAAATAGGTAAAGTGTGGTGTTTTTTATTTAATAAATAGTAAAAAAATAACATTAAAAAAATATATTTTCTTGTATCCCAGAGATAATCCCAAGTACATAAGCTCTTTGGGTTCGACCATAGTAAATGTTGCCCGTTTGGTACCAGATGGCTTACTAGTATTCTTTCCTTCATATCCGTTGCTAAATCAATGTGTAAATTCATGGCAAGCCTCTGGAGTGTGGTCGGACATTTCTCGGCATAAACCCATATATGTGGAACCCCGTGGTAAAGAAGATTTCGTGACCACCATGGAACAGTTTTATCAAAGTATTAAGGAGTCAAAAGGTGCCTGTTTTATGGCCGTATGTCGAGGTAAAGTTTCAGAAGGTCTTGACTTTGCTGATCGAAATGGACGTGCTGTAATTATAACAGGTCTACCCTTCCCGCCATTGAAAGATCCTAAAGTAATATTAAAGAAAAAATACTTGGAAGAAAATCGTACAAAAGAAAATGAGGTAAACTATTCAAAATCGTTCACCATATAACAAGTAATGATTATTTGCCTTTCTAAACTATTAGCTGCTTACCGGTCAAGCATGGTATTCTTTAGATGCTACAAGAGCTGTTAATCAGGCCATTGGTCGTGTCATACGGCATCGCAATGATTATGGTGCAATTTTACTATGTGATGCTAGATTCCAGCAACAATCCCAAGTTCAGCAGTTATCTAAATGGATAAGAGATATATTAGGTAATCAAAAAATTAATACAGCATTTGGACCGGTTATTAAAGAATTGAGAGACTTCTTCAAGAATGCTGACAAAACAGTGTGTATAAGATGATATAAATTAATTTGCATTTTTTTTTTCTAAAACAGCATTACTTCTTTACAGATGCCAAAACCGAAGGAGCGTTCAATAGAAACATTGGTCCATGACAGTTGCGAAGAGGTTGGTGAGAGTGTACGGAGCAAATTATTTGCTGATCCCAAAGAAATACTTGCAGCAAAGAACCGGTTTCAAACAGCTCACAGCCAAGCAATGTAAATATTTTTTGTTTCTTTTCTTAACAAAATTTTTCATTTTCTTTCTTTGCAGCAAAGTTGAAAAGACAAATTCTATAGAATCGTGGTCACCAAATGATTATGCCAGAGCCGCTGGTCGATCAAACACTGGCAAACTTCCTAGTGCCATGGATTTCATGAGTCGGCTTGACTCGGATGTTAAAGCAATCGATTTTAATTCTTCCTCATCGTGTAACAACAGTAGTGAAAATTTAGTTAAAATACATAAACGTGAACGTAGTCCCACAAGCAGCCAATTATCCTCATCATCGTCGTCGAGCAACACATCATCATCATCGCAAGGTGAATTAAGTAAAAAGAAAAAATATAAACTAGTAGAAAATACCCTATCATTAACGACACAAGTATCAGCATCAACGACTGCTAAATTAAATTCATTTTCATTTGCTAAGAAGCCACAAGTGTCCGCTAACACAGATGAAAATAAAAAGGCTCCTGAGGATAGATTGGAATTTTTAAGAGTGGTAAGTTGTAAAAATTTTTCTACAATAAACATTGTTTTAACTGGTTTTCTTTTTGGTTAGCTTCGTGGTGTCTTGGCTCCACCAGATTTCAGTGCGTTTACAGCAGCTCTTGTTTCTTATAAACGTGATAACAACATCGATGCTCTGTTGGATCTATTATTTCGTATATTGGCAAAACCAAGTTCTATGTATTTATTGCGTGATATGAAACGTTTTCTTAAAAATGAACATCGTTCCAAATTTGATGATCGCCTTGCCTGCCTCTCATAGTTTTAAAATAATTTTAGACCTGAATTGAGAATTGGAGTTTTATTTTATTAATTTTTTTTAGAATAAATAATGCTTTCTTACAGGCTATGTAAAAGGAATGGGTACTTAAGAAGAATACTCTCATTTTTATGCCCCTAACTTTATATCTTCGTAGAGTTTAAAGTACATGTGTAACGGGTTTAGATTTAAATAATAAATTTCTCATAAGTATATGCATCCAAATTTGTATAATGTTCAGAAATATATTTTCGCAAATTATGATAAAAATCGAAATTGTACCGTAAACCTCTGTTTACTTCCCCAAATAACCAAAATTTTGAAATTTTCTAACAAGTTCGATGATAGACAATATCGTTTCATTCCACACAAAGGGTCAAAGCGATCCAGCGAATCCATCCGCGTACAGACCGAGATAAAAATTGTTGGAAAAGATTATAAGAAAATTATAAAGAGAACGCCATAAAAGAAGTAGTGGAAACAGGAAGGTCATAGATGCAACAAGAACATTTTGTACTATTAGTATGTCTGATATCAAAATTCATTAAACTCAAAGTGGAATGAAAACTCTAGGAGACAAAATTATCCCTAGCTATCTAGTATTATTAGGAACCTGAATAAAAGGTTTAAAGTGATGTGATCCCAGCTTGGTCCAAATATTGAGCATCGTAATATCTCTACCAAATTTGATATTTTTCTTCTATATCAATATGGGGTCTTTTATGAACAAACATACTGTGGCAACTCGGAGCAGATAAATTGCATTTTGTCAAGTGCCTTAATTTAACAAAAACAGAGAGGCGCGTTTGTACTTGACATTCCCATGCCCACAAAACCGTTAAATTTTGTAAAGCAAATGAAAGAGAACGGGACATCGTTACGCATGTATTCATTCTCTTAAAAGCATATGATTACATGCATTCACATGTCACACACATACTTATGTCCTGGGGGGCTGAAGGTTCGTAATGGTAGTATGATGCCCCCCTTTTGTGTAATGCATCTAAGTGATAGGCAACAAGCAAACCTTCTGTGCAATCAACATCATTGTTAGTTAGAATGTGAAAGTGAAAGGAAGCTTTGGGCCATTGTAAAGCTTTAGTAAAAATCAAAGAATTATTAAAAATAAGTTTAAATAAAATATTTATATAAAGGCGTTCAGAGTTTAAATTTTATTAACAATTTTAACTTGCTGAAAAGTGCAAAAGGACAATTTGATTTGTTAGAAAGTCCAACCAACCAACCACCTGACCTAACCTTGGCCTATGCATAGTAGGAACCAAACGACACACGTACTCACGGAAAACAACAATTACCATCACGAACCACACAATAACCTTGAATATTTGCTGCTGCTAATTGTAAATTAAGACCCCAAAGGAGGAGACAAAAGGAAACACAATGACTGAAGAAACAAATTGTTTGCGACCAGCAACTGGTGGTGTTCCTGTCGGTCCCAGTGCGGGTGGCGAATATGTTTGGACTCATCGTGAACCATTGATGCATTTACAAAAGTATACTCCATTCTTTCGCCTAATCGATTTTGTGGAGAAGACTCGAACGAAACGCTTCTATGAGCCTGCTGAACGTTTCGAAATTCTCATGTCGGCCTGTATTTTACGACACCCAGCACCGTTTTGTCAAAATCGCCGTTTCCCCGAAGACTATTGGGCTAATTTGTCCGTAGGACCAGTCGCCGAGGCCTTTGATCGTCTGATTGCCTCATTGGATATACCCAGTCCACAGTTGTTGTCACAAATGAATGCCCAAGACTGGGATATATGGAAGAAAAAATTCGATAATGCCATGTCGGATATACGACGTTTATCCTATTGTACCGATTTGGATAAATTAGCCGATATTGGTATTTATAATCGTACAACATTTGAGCAGCGTTTCAATATGCAATGGCGTGAGTAGGATAGGGCGGTTACCAAACAAGGCGGATGAAGGGCAAGGAGAATTATTGAATATTATATATGTTGCTGTCCCATATGTGGGTCAAGTTTAAGAGATGATGGTGATATAGTTGTAGATATTAAGAGTATGTTTATAATGGATTAAGAGAAAGAAGAAAAAGAGTGGTGGGTATGTAAAAACGAGAAGAAGAGGAAGTGATAGCAACCAAAAAAAAAACGGAAGTGTAAAAATGCAACATAAATATTAAAACCTAGCTATGTTTGTAAAAGAGTGTGAGTGTGTGTGCGTATGATTGGCCCAAGTAGTCGTTAAGGTCATTACTTTAATTGACAATGCGTTGTTTTTCTTTTGTACAATTCTTGAGGGCATTGGCTTAAAATATTTATGTTGATGACACAAGTGTACAAAGTTTTGAAATTTGAAAAGAGCGTAGGCTTAAAGTTTTCATATTTTTGAGAAAACATTTAATTAAAATATGCTGTTGAAAATCTTCTTTATTTATTTATAACTAATTTAATTAAAGTTTAAATCCCCTCTAGAAGATTTGCTGCTCTTCTACTTCAAATTTCTTCCAGTAGATGTCTATAAGACTATATCGATTCGAAGTCAATGTGATTTTCAATATTAAAATTTAAAAAATTAAAAAATATTAAAAACAACTGTTGCTCGGGTATTTATGTTATTTTTTTAAAAACGTCAAATTATATTAGATATGTTCCTATCCTTTGCGATATATACTCGTTTTTATATCATCAAAAGGGTAGCATATGAGAAATTTACTAGCTAGTGTTGTGGAAACCAAAAATAAAAATTTAACAAAAAATACCTTGCTAAGATGGGAAAAAATGGCGAATAAAATATGAATTTTATAAGATCTGCTGAAAACCCAATTTTTTTCACATATTTCAGACGTAAAATTATTTATTTTCTCCTCCTTTTAGAAATGTCCTCACATATATTGTTCAGAACCAAGTTTTTTGCTGTAAAATTTCAATTTTTCACATATTTTAGACTTAAAATTACATATTTTCTCCTCCTTTTAGAAATTTCCTTACATTTATTGTTCAAACCAATCCAATTTTTCTATCGTAGCAAAATTTTTCCATTCTTCCAGGTTCAGGAATAGAGCAGTCGTGAGAAAATATTACAACAGTTGTTAGTAGATTCTTGCAGGTTTTTGAATAGATTAAATCAGATTATTCAATATTCCATGGGGGCATTAGGCTAAGTCCAAGTCTTTTCAGAATAGCGATAAAGTTCTCAATATTTTAGATAAATCCTTCAAATTTTGATTTCACGTAAGAACAACGCATACATTTTCAACGGTTTTGTATCTATAGACCAAACCTAGGGAACAAAAAGAAGAAAAAAATAGAATTTTTTAAATTTTTTTATACCCTCCACCATACGTAGTATGGAGGGTATATTAAGTTCGTCTTTCCGCGAAATAATAATTTTAGACGTATCAAAGTATATATATTCTTGATCAGTGTAAAATTCTAAGACGATTTAGCCCTGTCGGTCCGACTGTTGTAATTATGCTAGAGTCAAAACGAATTAAGATAGGAAGCTAACATTTTGCAGAGATCTGATTTTTTTATGTGCAGGCAGGTCAAGTTCGAAAATGGGCTATATCGGTTCACGATATAATATATCCCTATATAACGGTAACTCCCGATATTCGGTATTTTGATTATAATATCAACATTATTCAACGAAATTGTTTCAAAATTGTTGATATTAGAGACATTATTCAACGTTATTTTTTCTAATATCGTATTTAAAGTTCGGAATCGGTACTACAGCCTATGACAAAAAAGTACTTATGTAGGTCTACGTCTTCGTATAGCCCCCATATAGCGGTTTTGATTTAAGTGGTATTTTTCGACTCATTTTTATTTATATATTTATTTATTTATTAATTTTTTTTTTTGAAATTGTTCAAGATCCTTCAAAATGGTGGAGGGTATTAAATGCTCAGCTCGGCGGAACAAAGCTACTTTTTACTGTACATGTTATTGCCTTATTTGTAAGATTACAAAAAATTTCAACTTTTAGTTTAAAATCAATTTGAAAAATTATATAAATTGGATACCCAATAGTAATTAAAATATAAATATTAAATATGTAATTATAATGTTGATATTAAAGGAAAAAAAACGATTTACAAAATTAAACGGTGCTACAGCCAAAAAATATATATTTGTAAAATTTAGTGAAATATTAGATTAGAAACAAAATAGGAACTAACAGCGATATCCAAAAAAATTAATTAGGTATACAATATTGTTGATGTTATTGGAAAAAATTGGCCAAGTGTCCTAACATAAGAATAACCCAACAGGTTTTGATTGCATTGAAATTGAATCAACTTAAAAATATGTAACACAAATTATGTAGCACTGCATTTATTATGTATATATATATAAGCACATACATTTTGCATATACACTAACTGTATACAAACATGGCTGCGCGAAACAATGGGTCCAAAAAGTTTTCATTTGGACACTTAAAAAATGGAATGATTTGGTTCACAAATGAATTGTATTATCGAAAATGTTAGCTTTAAATTATTAATAACAAGTAACAAATTATTGCCAAAAATTATAATAAGTAAATAAAAATACATACATACATACAATAAATGTACAAGGGAAAATACATTTTCGTTAAGTTTTGTATTGAGTTTCATTACAACATAAGGTTTTTATCAACCATCAGTGAGAAATTTTATATAACTACTTATAACATCAACATTTGAAGCAAGCAAAAAAGGTTTTATGTTGTGCTCGGTCGATCTTGAGATTCCCTTCCAATTAGGAAATGAAAGCATTGGAAATTTGTCCAAAAGCACCAGAATTTTTGATTAACGAAACTATTAATCTTATTTCGATCCAAACCGACCGAGCGGGCCATCTCTCCTTAAAATGCTTTCAAATCCTACTAAATAGAGCCATTTTGAACTCTTTGTTTTTCGATGTTAAATATATATAAAGAACCTGTAGAACTTTGTAGTTTCTGGAACACAACACTTGTTTATGGTTTGAAATTCCCGAAAACTATATACTATAAATATTTGTAAAATAGACCGGGCAGGTCATCTCAAGTGACCTGCCAAATTGGAGGTGCCCTAAATGACTCTTATCAACTTAGCAATATGTCTCAAGTTTCATTTAGATGCTTCATTAGATAATTGAAAAGTACTGCAGATTATCAAAGACAGGGTGTTTCTAGGACCTGTTTATGTATATCGAAAGAAAATGAATGCGCAAGGAAAACTCAGGTTTTAGGCATATTTTTAAAATTTTATTCAAGAATTAAAAAAAAAACACTTGTATAATAAGTGTCATTCTCTTTCGACATTCATAAACATGCTTAATATGTTTAAAACATTTTCCCATTATCATCGCTTTAAATCTGCAGACGTTTGATTCAGAATCATCAACAGTTTCTTTATTCCCATTCATTTATATTGGGTAAACGTTATTTTTTTTATAAATTTTTTTTATGTATTTTATTTTTATTTTGACATTATTCTTAAACTATTTCCTTCCCTTTCATTATAATCCTTCCATCATTTGAAGTTCAGCATCATCCATAATGTCTGCTATTTTACGTTTTGTTTTCAATTGTAGGGATAAAGGCATTTTTTGTAATTGTTTGGCGTATCCGAGGAATATTAATTCCATAGATGTTAGATTGGTGAAAGACGGATCATTTTTTGTTGACGTATTGTTATCCATAGCTGGTGGTGTTTGAGATTTTTCTTTTGCAACCGTTTCAGGGACTTTTGCTGTATCAACAAGGTCTATTTGTGATTTTCCTTCCGCTGGCGTTGTATTCAATGCTATACTTGGTGGCGGCGGTTCATCAAAACAAATTTCTTGTGTTTCTTCTCCCCGTTCTTGTTTTTCCTGGTTTTCTTCTAATACATTTTCAGGGGATTTGTCCAAATCTTGTGAAACTTCTTGAACATCATCATCATCATCTTTTAATATGTTTTTTAATTCTTCCTCATCTATGGAGGTATCGTCACTGAAAATGAGGGAATTGCATGGAATCTTCAAAGGCTTATTGCATTACTGCTACTTACATCATTGTAAACATATATGGTTGTAAAAAGTCCATATATTTTGCCAATTCGAAATCATCATTGCCTTTTAAATACTCCATATACTCGTAGAGTATTCTGTTCCAATTCCTTTGGACTTCATCTATTGAAACACAAAATTTATTGGCTATACTTTGCCATTCACTTTGGAATTCATCGTCGTCTTCGTGTAGGTTCTTATAAATATTTGGTTCTTTCTTTACAGCTTCAATAAGTTCAACTAAATTCATTGTCCCTGATATTTATTTTGAAACACAAATTTGAAAACGGTACCCAATGCCGCTAAATCTTTATAATATTCCCCAAAATTCGAAGTTTTTTTCTTCCAGTTATAATGAAGAACAAGAATCAAAACAAAAGCCAAAGTGTTTTTACGATAAAACCGTTGATGAAAGTGTTATCGATAACATTTGCTCCAACAAAGCGCTTGTTACAAAACTTCAAAGAACTACGGAAAATATGAATAAAAAAAAAATAATACTTCAATGAATTAATTAAAAAAGAAACTTTAATTCTTTATAAATAAACATTTCCTATATGAATATATATATATATTTTTCTTCATTGTAACTCCTAAGGAGATAATTTATATAAACAGTAAGGTTTCATTTCGAACAAAATGACCATCGCTTCAGAGGTAATCTATGTAAATATATCTGAACCGATTTTCACCAAATTTGTGACAAGCTTCTGTCATCAATTTGACCCCTTCTGCAGGAAGGTATTATGAATTTGGGGCATGAAAAACAAGAAAAAACTTTGATTAAATTTATGGGAGTTATATCCATATCTAAAGCGATTATCGTACTAGGTCTAGGCAACTTGCTTTTGCCTGCATCTTTCTGCCATCTTTAAATAAAAATTGAAAACTGTTGTTCAAAGCGTTGCCGCTTATCAACGAATGAAATGGCAAAACTTTTAAAGTTAGTTAGCTTTTAACAGCATTTATTTATTTTTAATTTAAAAAAATCCTAAAAACTAACTTATAAAAAGTTTAGTTATTGCTTTTGTACTCATCTTAATTTTTCTTTTTTGCATTATTGAAAATTCCTAAATACTTTCCACGAGTCATTTCCTTAGCTTCACTAACACCCAGTTGATAGGCTTCATCGTAGATTTTCTTAATTTCCATTATCAAAGCATTGGGAGACAATGTGCTGAGTTCTAAAATGGCAATCAAATGAAATTTAAAATGTTTTATAAGAAAACAAAACTACTCACGCAACATCGCCGAAGTATCCTCTTGCGACAGACCACGGGACCATTCAGGTGCAGGTGTACGTATTGGTGTATCACTCATAGCAATAAAGTCGGTTATTCCTGGAACTTGAAAGTTTAATGAAAATTAATTTTTTAATCAACGGTTCTTTTTGACAGTAAATGCCACTGCATAATTATTCTACATATTGAACAAAGCTCTGTTAAGCGATAATATTCCCCACAAGGACCAATATATCCAATTAAGCCTTATTTATGTTATTTATTCTATTGTATGACCACCAACTTACTTTTTTCTGGCCACAAATCTGGCGATGCTCTGTCTAATTTTTCTAACGATAACAAGCCTCCATCATCCTGCTCTTCCTCCTTTACCATGGAATCTTGAATAAAAAAAAATTATTTTATTTTTCTTTTTAATTGTTTTGTTTTTGCTTACATTTTAATGTGCGTTCCTTTTTTGTTGTCATTTTCTTGTGAAACAACACTTGTGAAAGTATCGGTTTGCATTAGATAGTGTTATCGATATTTTTACTAAAAGCGAATCTTTAATACAGACGTATCTAATGACATAATGCCATGTTCTAGCGTGTATATAAACGATATTCGGCTTATGCGATATTATAATTATTTTTTTTTGATCGTGCTCGAATCAATCTCTTTATATGGATACTGTTCAAAAATTGATAATTATCAACATTCACCCAATTGTTATATTTTCCAATTACAAAAATTCACATTAGTGTTATAGGTTGAAATTGTTCAACTTATTCTAGAACAGAGCAAAAATATACACATAAAAAAACCGTATACATATATTGACATTACAAAAATATTAAAAGAAAATTTTGTATTCAGATGATTTATATGCTTTACCATGTCTTCATTGTCCCATGCCAGAACCTGCCAGTATGCACTTCAAAGAAACTAGAAAACTTCAACTCTGTGTGGAGTCTTATAGTGTCAACTAGACCTTTAATATGCAATATGTACAGAGCTTTGTTTATTATTTATTTTTCTTTGTTTATTATTTATTCTTATATTGGGGAAACCCCGCGAAACAAGAATGGAATTTAGGGATAATTCCACGAGAAGGAATCTAAAAAAGTAGGACAATACATTTTTATCACAAAATTGTACAATTTGTTACCCATTTACGTCGAAAATTTGCATTTATTTTGCAGCCAAATTTGAAATAAATTATTGTATTTTTTATTCAAAACAATACACACATACACCAAATGTGTATGTGTTTTGACATAATGAGGGCACCAAAAGGAAAAAGATGTGTTTGGGGGTTAGCCTTGTTCTACCTTCTGTAATTGTGCCATGCCAGTATGCATAGATTTTACTACGATAATTGATTTTTTCTTTATGATATCGCAAAAAATTTCTAAACTAGTAGATTCTTGCATGTTCTGGAGAGCAATGATTAGAAATGGTTTTATTAAATTTAATTAATTAAAAAAATATTAAATTTACTTTTTATTTTTTATTCTATAAACGAGCTTTTAAAAATACTAAGTTATTGTAGATTCGGCATCGATAAGTTGAACAGCTGATTCGATAACAGAGCATGTGCCTTGAGGAGCGCTTTTCATTGTGGATTCGACATACTTTCTCTCGCCCATTCTCTCCATGTGTTTTTCTCTTTGTCTAGTTGATAGTATTTTTTCCATAATTTCTTTTTCATTCTCATTTTTTCACTGCTCCATTTCACACACATATTTTTAGTGAATTATTAATTTAGTGAACTAGGAAAATATTATTTTTATATAACACAGGGAAAAAATAGAAAGTGTAAATATTAAAAGTGTGCGAATAAATTGTTTTGACAAGTGTATAAAAAAAGTTTAATTTCCCTTGGCAACAACTCATGGCAACCTCAACAACGCTACCAAATAATGCCAGCAGCAACAACATTCATTATGATGAATTATCAGAAATAAAAGCAATTTTCTTTGATTTGGACAATACTTTAATACCAACAAGATCGGGCGATAGCAAAGCTTGTCGTGAAGTAAGTTCTTCTTGAAATTATCATAATTATGGAAAATTCCGCTGCGGGTGCAGAAGATACAAACAAAATTAAGCTGCTTGCTCGCCACTTTATGGTTTGTGGTGGGTTGAAAATAAAATGTTTAATTGTGAGTTTTATGTGTTTACCAGGCGGAAGGGGTTTACATGTGCAAATGCCATAATCGATGAATAAACCTTTTGCAAGCAATCTATTTTTATTATTGGAACAGTTCGCTAACCGTTGACTTTATGACTTTCCACGCAATTTAGACTGTTGATAAATGTTGATGATGCATTTTTTGGTTTGGAAAAAAATTGAAAACGTCGATGTGCGATAGTGCTCTGTTGATAACAATGAACTTGAAAAACGACTGTTGTGCTTTGTTTCTGGACAACTATTAAATATGATCACGTCTTTTAATACAAAATTAACACAATGCAATTGTAAATGCGTAAGAGTGCAATTTTGTCTAATTGCTATGTTGTTCTGTTTCTGAACGAACTAATGAGAATGCCGATGACCCAGTAGGAACGAATAATTGGGTTCATTTGTCGTACATAAGTGAAGCAAAAAAAAAAAAAATAGTTTTTGCGACAATCTTAGAATTGTTCCAAATTTTTACCAAATGTAATCATTTTTATCATGACGCTTTTGCCGTTATCCCTGTATAGCGATGTTGACTGATTTTATGCGCTTTTAAGGATCTGGTCAGATCTTGCGACAGAAATGGTTGCAATTAGATGTTTTGAAATCTCAATAGGTAAAAGACATCCTAGCAAAAGTGATCCCCAAATATTTTATATCAAATGGAAAGGTATAATTTGATATTTTGCATGCGTGGTCGGAAGATATCAAGCTTCCTTTACTTTCCTGCTGTAAATATGCGTCTATTTAATTATCTATTAAATAAAACTATAATTGATTTTCCTTACTAAAATCGTTTTTACTTTTTCAATCTTTTTCAGGTCTCTGATATACTTCAACGTCAGTATGGTTTCACAAAAGAAGAGGCTAACTATAGTACACAGAATTTCCTGAAATCATTTCGTCGTTGCCCCGATAATTCTGAAACATCACTGGATATTTGGCGTACACATTTGTGGCATGAGGCATTGCCACCAAAATATAAACAATTAGCCTCCACCATATATCCCATATGGTTAGACTTACGTCACCGTCATCTTGCCATACCCAAAGAATACGTACAGCTATTGCAGAATTTACGTAAACACTATCTACTGGCACTAATTACAAATGGTCCATCCAATGCCCAATGGGAAAAAGTACGCCAGTTGGAGGTACAACAATATTTTGATTGTCTCTTAGTTTCGGGTGATTTGCCATGGGAGAAACCAAATCCAAATATATTTTACGCCACATGTAAATATTTAAATGTTCAACCGAAACAATGTTGTATGGTTGGGGATAAGCTGGAAAGTGATATAAAGGGAGGAAACTTAGCTGGTCTAGGTGCTACATTTTGGTTACCCCTAACATTAGATGAAATTGAAAAGTTACTGCGCACTGATGAAAGTGGGCTGGAACACAACAAACCCACATTTATCCTACGAAATTTATTAGAATTTTATGATTATTTTAGTGTAATAAAAGAACAAAGCGAAAATAATGAATTTCTAGAGCAGCAGCAGCAACAACAAGTACCTGAGTATAAAAAATGCCAAAGCAAAAATATTCTTTATTGCCGAGGACGTTCTTCATCGCCAACAACTACAACTACAGCAACAACACCACCCATTGAATTTTCGACTAGCGAAAGTGATAATAGCTCAGATAGTATCTAAAATACATACAAGTGTATATAGGTACATAAATTTAGTGTAGTATTACAAAAAAAAAAACATAAATTTACAACAAACACTTATAGTACATTACTATGTATGGCGAAAAGCTAATATTGATAATGATGATGTTTATAATTTACAAACTAAGCGGCTCACTGAGAACTAGTAGTAAATAATAATGAATACAAAAATCAAACTACACAAAAACTACTAAACGGCAAACTGATGGTACAACAAACAAACAAACTACAACAATGTTCATATTCTCACTTTGATTTATTTATGTTTAACATACCAACTCATTTTACATTTGTTTTTATTTTTTACTCATGTACTATAAGTATATATTTATATACATATGATGTGCTATTTTCTACGGATTTTATGATAACTGATGCTTTATATTGCTTTGATGTATTATCAACACTACAACAATGAAATAATGGAACAAAGATTTTATTTTCATAAAAAATAACTATTTTGCATATTTTTTACTACCACTACTACACTTGAATGCATTTTTTGATGAACAACTTTTAAATGTAAAAATTCTAAGTTTACGCTATGAAATAAATTTTGAAATAAAAATAAATTTAAACGGTATGTTCTTTCAAAGCTATCAATTTCATTTTTTTAAGCAAGTGAGGGGGACTAAGAAAATTTTATAGACATCAATAGATTCTATATCATGGCCAATAGAAAAAAATTAGATTTTTCAAATTGTTTTGATGAAGAAGACAGCAGCATTCATTAAGAGAAGTTAGAGTTGTGTAGCAGGGACAATGATCGTAGTTTGTCAAAATATCCTAAAAGCACTTAAGTCATGGGTCATTTAATGGATATTCATTATTGGTTGGACCGATAAGCTTTTATATAAGCAAGCAGGAGGCGGGGACGATTGAACTTCAAATATGCTGGTGATAAATGAAAAATTTTACATTTTTTCTAATGGAGATCTCAATATTATTTATAAATTTTCTAGGAACATGTCCAGGCTTAGCAAACAGCAAAATTAATATAATTACAAGAATTTAATATTTTCTTATGGATGTTCTTAATCTGTCAATATCGTATCATCTTTTGAACCTTTAATTTAATAAATAATTCCAATATAACATTTAAAATTATGTACAAAACGCTTACATTACTTTGCAGCATGGAATATGTTTGGACAATTAGCAAATTCTTCCAAATGTTTCATTTAAAAATTATTTTCCAACAAACTGTGTATTTGATATTTTCCAAAGGTTTATTTCACAAAATTATTATGGTATTATTAGTTTGTCTTCATCAATCACAATACATTGTATTCATTTATTAAGCGTCATTCACAATAGTATAATACTGCTTTCTTCCTTCAGTGAATTGCCAACTAATACCATGGATCATACCATAGAGCCATGGAAACTGGATCTTGAACTCATGTTTCCATTTTGTGAATATTTGATTGAATCTTCATTTTGGAACGTTTTTAAGATTATCCTTCCTGATGAATGGACTTGATTGAACATGCTAAAGGCTTCCACAAGTTGCTTGAAAAGCTAAGCTATCGCAATGAGTTCACCTCCAAACGCGTCGAAACACAAAAAAGGTAAAATAGCTCAATGTAAGAAGAAAAATAAAAAAATGGAGAAATATAAAGCAAAGGAAATAGATGAGACCGATGCCAATGATTCAGGCCATGATACTGTTTCGACTACAATTACAACAATTAACACAAGTCCAGTCGATATGATGACATCCAAGGATTTTCAATTTGATGTGGCGGCCCACATCGAAATGATACATCAACAACTTAAGGATACAGTTAGAGTGCAAAAATTTAAGGAGGCCATTTTGTATAATAAACACTTGTTCAAGAATAAGTCTGTTCTCCACCTAAATTGTGGAGTGGGCATATTCTCATTATTTGCCGCCAAAGCAGGCGCCAGTAAGGTGTACGCCATCGATCGTTCAAATGTGATATGCTATGCAAGACAAATTGTAGCCGCAAATGGTTATGGAAATGTCATAGAAGTATTTAAGGGTAACATTGAAGACATTGATTTGCCGGAGAAAGAAGTCGATATAATTTTATGTGATTGGATGGGCTATGCCTTGCTATTTCAGTCGACCTGTGATGCTGTCATTTATGCCCGTGATAAGTGGCTAAAAGCCAATGGTTTAATATTTCCCGATCAGGCAAAACTTTTTATGGTTGCTGTGGAAGATCAAAAACATAAAAATGAAAACATTGAATGGTGGAATGGTGTCTATGGATTTAATATGAAATGTTTGCGAAATGTTGCTCTGAAGGAGCCACGTTACAAGCTTATAAAAGTGGAGCAAATTCTCAGTAAACAATGTCCTATAAAGGCAATAGATTTGTATTCAGCCACCAAGGATGATTTGAAATTTCGCAGTAAATACATGCTTCCCATGCAAAGAGCTGGTCAATTGGATGGTTTCGCATTGTATTTTCATGTATACTTTACAAAATCTCATACACCGCTTGGTTTTAGTACGGTAGGAATAGTTGATAAGTAATCCGTTTTTAATGTAAAACTAAATTGAGTTCTTTTTCATTAGGATCCCTGGTCGGCTGGCACAAATTGGATGCAAACTCTGCTCTTCTTAGATAAATCGGTTGGCGTTAAGGCCAACTCAGTCTATTATGGGGGAATTGAAATGTTATCTCAAAAAACTCCATTAGATCTGAATGATATGGTCATCAACTTGGAATTGTTAACAGGCGATCCGTCATTTCCAGAAGTCGATATAGAAATGAGCTGGAACTTGAGACCAGCTGTTATGCCAGTTGAATCATTGCATTTTAACGACAATAATGACATCCGAAAAGAAACAGATAAATTCAATGATGATCAGTCATCTGCCGTACAGAAGATTTCGAATTGTGATGCGAATCGTGATTCTCAAATTACTGTAAAATCTTTCAAAGCATCTGAAGCACGTGTTAAATCACAAAAACAAAAATTCATTGCAACCAAAATAATGCCAAATGAGGGAATATTTTTGGCTTCCCAAACATTCACAATTGGTGAAAATATTTATGTGTGCCGGAAGAATCGGCGCAACAAAAACAAACACAACAAAAAAGGCTGACTAATTTATATGATTTTTTTACATTCCATTTTTTTCAATTGGAGTTTATTTAAAAAGAATTAAATGTATATTTAGCTATAAGCTATGTTTTAACAATGAATTTATGTGAAAAAATCAATTTGAGACAATTATTTACGTATGATTAATACTTAAAATTTGATCAAAATTATATTTTCAATTATTATTTTAATTATTTTACGAATTTACATGAATTACTATAAAAACCTATTGTTTAGTTCATATGTACTTGTATACAAATTGTAAACTTTCTCAATGTACAAACTATGATATTTATGAACACGAAGTTTCTATGTCATTAAAGATAAAACAAAAAAATGAAGTGTTGTAGTAAATAAAAAATAAAAGACAAAATCGTATAGCATTTGTATAAATATAACTGCGAATTGTTTGATACAATTAATAAAAATTTTTGATAATTAAAATAATTCCTTTAGGTGATTTGTGGGTAGGGGATATTTTTTTCTCCAATGGAAATTATCTTATTTTTTTCAGTATAAGAAACTTTGGAGGTCTTCTAGGTTGCTTCACGTCTTCTATAGATTAATTTCTTCCGGCTCTTTCATATACAGTGTGAACAACATCCTCCTGGTTTTCTATTAGAAAAACCTCTTGAAGTTGTTTAGAAATAAAATAACTTTTTAGATCATCTAAATATGATGTATCATTTAAATATGACCTCGTTATATGTATGGCATCAGAAGAAGATTGTCTTGATCGCTAGTACTGACGTCCATAATTTGAAACAATTTTTTGTTATATTATAATATAATATATTATAATATTCATTTATGTCATCTACCTACCTTGCGTATACTCGAATTGACCTTGACCTATGCTGTGATGCAGCAGGCTCAAAATGACGACGTAATTTAGAAAAATAAAACAAACCCTCGGGAATATGTACATCATCAACAATATTTTTTTCCAAATTTATTTTTATTTCATTGTATATTTTATTTTTATTTATATATATGTAATATTTCATAATAACTACGTCAATATGTTGTTTTTTGTATATATGTCTATTTTTGTAACGACTTACAAAAATATTAATATTTTTTTTTGGATTTTTGTAATATCTTAACAAACACTTACAAACACATCCGCAAATCATTGGCCATTAAAATTATATATATAAAATACAAATTTTATTTTAATAAAAATTAATTGTATTCTTTTTAATATAATTTTTGATGCGCTAAAAGAGCTACAAAAATACTTTACTTTTTTTTGCTCTGTCATTGATACAAAAAATGTAACTCAATTGGATGTATAAAGGTTCACACTACCCTTGTTGGCTGGCAATCTAGCCTAATAGCGATTAACTTAAACTAAAAATTATCTGACGGCAAATGGCGTGCTAACTTGCATTTCTTTTTCTTTTACATTGACTGATTTCCATTTTGCATTAGTTACAATTTTGCATATTTATTTTATTTTTTTTTATTTATAGAGCAAATGTTAACTTCAATATATTGACTTTATTGTTATTGTTTTCATTCGTAGTACTGGGTTTTATATGTATATATTTTTTTAATTTTAATTACAAAGTTATTTGTTTTTAAGCTTTTACATAGTAAAGAATAAGTTGGTTTCTTCTTTGACATAAACAAAATAATAATAATAATAATAGGTTATTAAAATAGTTCAGTTTAAATGTGTTAGTTAAATAACTAAGTAATAGTACGTCCAAAAAACGATTTTATATATTTCAAATATTTTCTGCTTTAAAATTTTGATTTACTCTTACATATATGTTTGCCATTAGTAAGCAAAAACATGAACATATGTATCATATACGTACATACATAAATGTATATAAAAGGTTTAAATTGCTTAATATTATTATACGTAAAAAAAGATTTTAGCCATTCACCTAACTACTAGAAAAAAAAATTTAAATTTTGGAAAAATGAGTTAAACAAAAAAAAAAAAAAAATAAATAAATAAATAAATAAAACAAAGACCTTAATTTAAGTCTTCATCATCGAAACAAGGGTTGGTAAGGAAAATGACATTGGACTCAGTTTGAACTTGAAAAAAAAACGAAAACTTAAATAGATCCTTTAAATGAGACCACACGTATCCTGGCCTTTGCTTCAGTAAATAGACCACTTTCCAATACAAGGAAATAAACTATGTATTATTAAATATAACATTACACATTCTACCAGCATCGCTTGGTTCGCAGCTGCATCAATGTCGGCAGCTGTTTCACCTTTGCTCCATTGTGCCATTCTAGGAAGAATAAAGTTTTGGTAATAGGAAAGATATAGAAGCGAGAAAGAGAAGAAAGTGATTGTAGGGATATGTAAATTTATCTGGGTAATTTGCATAGACAGGAAATGTTTTTAGCAAATCATTTTGATGATATTGGGATATATGTCTGACAAGATGGGATCCATGTCTGAGAATACCTGTTCTGTTTGATAATCTAGGACATCGGCGTCCGTAAAATGTAGCTGATAATGCATCCATGGCAAGTTTCTTTAATGAAGTCTAAATGAATGAGTATATTGGGATTGAAAATTGTAACGGTCTTCTGTTTAAAGTATTTTCATGGGTATAATAAGAGTCAGATTTTATTTGCTTATAAAAAATCCAGGGAAAGCTTTTAAAACTACCCAATAGTTTAGCTGAAGTCCGCTGTAAATAATTTTCCTTCATATGTTATCTATAGTGCAAAAAATTGATATGTTTTAAGACGGTATACAAACTGTTAAACAGGCTAGAAGGGAATGCAAGATTTAATCGCTGCGAAGATGACAACCCCATCACAAATATATTCTCATTTAAATATTCTCATATATATTTTTGTCAACCTGACACCAGATATGAAATATTTTAAGCATTAAGCATCGTCAAAAGACTTAAGCAACTTGAAAATAAATTTATTGATGATCTGCAATCTAATATAATCTAACCTAATTTTAGACTGAAGGCTTTTGTAAAACCTAGTTTTCGTTTTTCTGTTGATATTAAAAAAAAAAACTATTTGACATTCACATCAACGATCTATAATTAGACTTTTACAGGAATACTTCTTTAAGATTTTATTTTAGTGGGACTAATTCTAACTCAGATTTTTTGCAGATTTAAATTAAATAAATAAATGAGTTTGACTTCTTTGTTGCTTGTAAAATTCACTTAAAAGTCAAATAAAAACTTTTCCAAAACTTGAAATTTTAAGCATTTATATGCTATTTTATTGAAAATGCATGGCCTGTACAAAATTTAGACCAATTTGTTTATAACCAGGGCGTTGGATTCAAAAATGATACCGAAGGCAAAATGTTTAAAAATACGACTCGAGGATTTTCTTCTCAGGATTTAATGCAAATACTGGACTTAATAATGGACTGGAACTAGAATCCATTTTAAACGTTATAATTGCATTTTGTAGAGGTTTTAAATGTTGTAAGAGTCAAAAGACATGATAAATTGAATGTCTCACAAGACAAGGTAAGAGTTTCGGAGTTTCGATTGATTTCCTCAGCCCTAGTTGAAACCAAGTTTATAAACAAAATTCTTAATGCTAACTAAATCTTAAGGGAAGCTATGGAATACACATTTTTTCTGCGTTATTATCTTATAGCTAGCTGAATGGCAAAATTTTAAAGGACATTTTTAAGGATTTGTTTTGTGGCTTATTGTTATTATTATTACTATAACTCTTTGTTATCAATTTAAGGATTAATTTAAACAATATGGTTTTCTTATTACATAGAAACGTTTCAACGGCATTTTCTTCTTTTTTTTCCTTTCTTCGGGATAGGGCATTCAACCATTTAAATGAAACCAACAAAAATAGTATGTTGACAATTCTTCTTTTTTTTCTTATTTTGTTGTTTTTTTACTTATTTTGAGCAGCAGCAATTTCTTCAATCTTTTTTCGTCTCTTGCTTAGCAGGGCGTTATTGGATTTATCCAAAGCTTTAATGTGCATCTAGAAAAAAACAAAAAAACATAAAAACTGTTAAACTCAACCCCTTAGTGTCCCTTACCTGGTCATAATCGACTCGCATTGTTGCTAGTGATCTGGTCATTTCTTCTTGAACTTCAGGCCATGTTTCCTCGCCCTCCTTCAGCATGCGTCCCGTACACAAGGGCGTCTGTGGTACTTCTGTATACTGGGCAATCCATTTGTTACGCATCACCTCTTCAATGGTCAGACGTTTACTGGGATCAACATTCAACATGCCTTTAATTAAGTCTTTGGCCGCTTGACTAACATTTTTCCATTCTGGATTTGGGAAATCATATTGTCCGGTCCGAATGCGTTTCTTCATGCCAGGTGAAATGGCCAGACCATTGTTACTGTAGAATGGTGGGAAGCCACACAATAGGATGTACATTATAACACCCAGGGACCAAATGTCACAACTCTTGTCATATTTCTCAGGGCCCAAAACTTCAGGAGCTGTAAGAAAAAGAGAGGGAATCATACATAAAGATTGTTTAAGAGGAAATTTAAGGAAATCTTTAAAGTGTGTTTTTATAGACAATCTGAGCATGGCTTTTGTAAAGACGAGCAAAAGAATCTGATTTATCCAGTAGACGAGGTATAACGAGTTTTAATAGACGAACTATTAAAGTCGAGCCGAGATTAAAGGGAATCGTTAAAGACAAGCAGTGTTTCTACGAGAAACGAGTTTTAATGCACGATGGGGACCTTATTTGATGATTTTATGGTCTTTAAAGATTAGGATTTTGTATAGACGACCTGAAGTAGTAGGGAGTCGTTATGAACTACCTGAAGGAGGGAGTTTGTGACCTGAAGACTTAGAACAGGAAGTCTTTATAGACTTCACCTGAAGACTTGTAACAGAGAGGCTGTCTAGACGATTATACCATCACTAAATTACGTTTTCTCGCTGGGTACTCAATAATATTCCTAATATTAGGGAAACTACTGTAATGAATTTAGGAAACATTTGAGTCTGTCCTGAAAAACTAAAAACTTAGTTTTCTAACTAAGGATAACTTGACCACCATATAACGAGGGAAAACTTAGCAATAGAAATGAATACAATCGTGTCAAGAAAAAAGTTTTTTAAAAGGAGTTAAACTTCTTTCTCAGTGTTCTAGGAAAAAATACATGGGGTTTTTGACGAAAATTACACATGGAATGGGTACTTGCCTTCCGCATTTAATTTCTATTTGACATTGAGAATCTGAATAGAGGTAACAAATGTATAACAAATTTCGGAGAGTAGAAATCATAAGTTCACAATGTCAGAGATGGGCTAATGCACTACATTTTAGTGCACTATTAATTTCACTAAATGATAGTGATAGTGCAATTTTTTTTTAAATATCACTAAATGGTTAGTGGTAGCGTAATTTAATTTTTCTTTTTTTCCACTAAAGGATTAGTGGTAGTGAAAATTTAATTGCACTGCCACTAATTACTTAATTCTTAGTGTACTAAAAATTTAGTGAAATATGCCCAACCCTGCACAATATAAGAATTTTCACTACAATTATGAATCGGCTTTAGGTATAAAAGAAACAAACTATCAAAACGGTATTCAATTTCCACTTACCCACATAATATGGAGTATAACATGGCGTCTGTAGAGTGTCCTTTATAAGAGTCTCTTTGGCAAAACCAAAATCTGTCAGCTTCAATATGCCATTTGGTTTTGGAGAGGTGTATAATAAATTTTCTGGTTTCAAATCTCTATGTGCAATATCTCGGCTATGCAGATAATGAACCGCGACGCAGATTTCATGCATAATTTGAGCGGCCTCTGAAAAACAACCATAATTACAATATCAATAATGTACGTATTTTTTGTCGCTGCTGCTTCTGCAGATAGTAGTTGCCCATTTACCCACCTCTTTCTGTGAATGCACCATCCTCATTATCTTGTATACGCTGGAATAATTCACCACCTTCCATACTGAAGAAGATAACGTGTAAATATCATAATTTATTAATATGTTTTATTGGTTAAAGTGTGTGCGCCATGATAATAGCATGACGATGATAAAGTGATAGCATTTGACTACCTACCATTCCATCACTACCAGAAGACATTTATTGCCTGCATAGGTATTCTCATAGACATCAACAATATTGACAATGTGACGACAACCACTGACACGCCAATGTAGATCAACTTCACGTCTTGCTTTGGGACTATCTAGAAGCACCTGAATAGGAAAAAAGTAATAATGCAAATTATTATCAAATAAATGAAAAAAAAAAAAATGAGATTAGACAATGTGTGTACATAAATATGTATAAAATTATAAATGCCAGAGGAACAATTATTTAGATCACAAATTTCACTGTTAGTGTGGGCGACAAATTGTTTTTTTACAAAAAAAACCTTAGCCCTGAAAATGGATCAAAATGGAAAAAATGCTCATCAGAATTATTTTTGGCTATAGAAAAAAACCTCAGACCGAGAATTGATTTTGAATATCAGAGGAACAATTAATTAGGTCAGAAATTTCACTTTTAGTGTGGGCGGCAATTTTTTTTACAAAAAAATCCTTAGCCCTAAAAATGGCTCAAAATGGAAAAAATGGTCATCAGGATTATTTTTTGATATAGAAAAAAATTCCTCAGACCTGAGAATGGTTTTTTTGGCCTATATTGAATAACGAACATATTGCGCAATGTCAAATTTAAATCTGTATTAAAACCACAGTTGCAATTACTATTTTATTCTGATTTATTCGAATATGTAATTCAATCGTGCATTGTTTTCATTTTAATTCTTCTTTCGCACTTCCTCAATCAGTCAATTTACATACCTTCAAGGCATATTTTTGATTTGTTGTGCGGCTTGTACATTGTACAACTTTGCCATTAATGCCGAGACCAAGAACCGTATTGGAAATTTCATAGTCGTCCACGAGTGGTGTGGTTTTGGGCTGTCGATGATGCTGCATTGCAGCTCCTTGACTCTTTGGTGGTTTTGCTATTTTGAACATTCTTGGCCAGGGGCGTTCAATGTTTATTGCGGTGTTGGGGTTTTGATCAGGCAGGGGATTTTCTGCAAAGAGATAGAGATGGAAAAGAAAGATGTTAGAAATTTTGAATTATTTTATTTTTAATATATTTTAAAGAACTATTAATTTTAGACTGGAATTTGTCCTGCTAAGAGATTCTTCTGATACTTCTACCCCCAGCAAATAATTTTATTTTTCTATTTGACTTTTATAACAGTTACACTCCTTTTCTCTTGGATAGTCGAATTACCCTCGTTAATGTCATGAAAATCAAGATTGAACGAGTACTTATTTCCCTTTTTCAAGGTTAAGAGCTCTGCACCACTTTTACACATATCATCCCACCTAAATGTCCTTTACCAGGGCACTGTAGCGATAACAACAAATACTCATGCACGTGCTAAGCAGCAACAGGTCCTCCTAGGGTTTTTATCACCATTTTTCAATGTCACTGGGTAAACAAATTATAGTGGATTTGTGTGAGTGTTTGTTTGTATTAAAGTGTTTGGCATTTTCATTGTGTAAAAATTCTCCTTCACACTTTTCTCCAAGCTCGCCCTGATGAAGGTCAATGTGCCAAGTGGTAAAGACACAATGCCATGCAACACTACAGGAATTGAATGCCGAGTGAACAAATGAATGGATGTCGGCTAGGAATTAATTGCATAAGAACCTAATTGTCTGTATGTATGTATTTATGTACGTACGTGACATTGTTACGTGTTCAGATTTATAACCGCAGGGAGGGAATTTCACAACAACAACAACAAAAACACACAATTCATGGTAGGAGAGCGACAACCATCTTCAATGCGGTTTATTATCATTGACATTTAAATGGTTTTTCTTGAGTCAGGCGGCATAAGAGATTCTTTTCATCCTCCCATCGGGAATGAAGCTTTATCCGTTACTTTAACTATTGCCAATAAAAAAATTTGATTCTTCGGGAAATCATGTAAAGTGGCAAATGGAAATTTAGGATGAATTTTTTTCTTAAAAAAATGTCTGGATTTTAGGTTTTTTTTTAAATTTTCTCCAGATTTTTTTTTTCTATACAAAATAAATATGTCTATCGGCTGGGATTTTTTTATATAAAAAAATCAATCCTCATTTGAAGAATTAAAAAAAACGCCTTGAGGATAAACTTTTTACTGAGGATTTATATATTTTTTTGAAACATGCCACTTTGCCTGAAGATTTTTCTTTATAATGGAAATCGATCTTTAGAACCCTGTATCGAAGAATTTTTTGACTGACTTCTTCGTAGAATAACAAAGGAATTTTAGGTTGACTTAGTTCATGGCCCTACGCTCCTTTGTTTTTTTTCCTATTCTTTAAAAAATCCTTCTATTTACTCTCACCTTTAAGGTGAGACTACTTAAAAGGCTTTTTTGACTGGCCTAAATTATCGGCTGGTTTCTTCGTAGATGAACGAAGGAGTTTTAGGTTGACTTAGTTCGATTTTTAATTTTGCCAGTCAAAAAATTAAGCGCTTTGTGTATTCCCACCTTTATTTCTCTATTGACATATGCCACTGTCCCTGAAGAGTTTTCCTATGCTAGAAATTGATCTCCAGAACCCTGTACAGAGAAATTTCTCCATGAGGTATATGCAATGGAATAGATAGTTCAAATTCACAAGGTTCCCCAAATTCGGTTTTAGGTTGACTTAGTTCATTTTGGCCCTAGGCTCCTTTGTTCATTTCCGAAGAAGCCAGCGGATGACTTAAGCCAGTCAAGCAAGCGCTTTATGTATTCATATCTTAAAAATTATTCTATAATAGAAATCGATCTCTAGATCCCTGTATGTCCCTGTCTCTGAAGTTAAGGTGAATAATAAATGATATTTTTTCTGTCATAAATCGCATGATATTCAATCTGGCGTCTTACATACAGTTGGCTTTTCGTAAAAGATCAAAGGAATTAGGTTGCCCCAGTTCAAATTGTAGTTCTACATTGACGTAAACTCGATTTATCCCATCGAATTAATTTTCCACAACTCCAGAAGACGGGTCATACTGCTTGTCGGAGAATTATTTCATTGCTTTTTTATTCTCGGAATCATCAACCTATAAATAGATCGAAGTCCAATCAATATAAAGTGTTCAATTGATTGACACCATCTCTGATTGGAACGTATTTCTTGTTGTAATTGTACTAATTAAATTGGAATACGAGAGCGGTTTTATAATTTTCAATTGAAATTGTTGCTCCAGTTCCAGAACTGCAAAAATGTGAAAATGTTTACCACGATAATTGATTTTTCCTTTATGATATCGAAAAACATTTTAAAACTAGTAGATTCTTGTAGGTTCTAGAACGGAGCGTATGTGAGAATTAAATTCAAAGGAATATAACAAGTAAACTGTCTAAGCACACAAACACTTCTTTATTTGATTCTAGTATTTCGGCCATATTGAGTCCCTTTTAGCTCCTTAAAACACGATTCCTGTTGAACCAAACAGAGTCTTTTTCAGTGCGCCCACGGGGCCTTAAGGTGGGAATACATAAAACGCTCTGTTGACTGGCTTAAATCATCGGCTGGCTTCTTCGTAGAAGAACAAATGAGTTTTAGGTTGACTTAGATCGAAGAAGGTTGTTTTTTACGAAGAAGCCAGCCGAAACCAGTCAAAAAAAGCGTTTTTATGTATTATCACCTTTAGTTTATTTTAGTTGTTTACTTTCATTTAAACACCCACACAACCATACGACTGGAAAAAACTGCAACTAATTCGTTAGAAAAGAAAAAATAATATGAACATGGGCAAAAACTTTGCTGGTAATTGGAGTCGCCTTTTTTTAAGAAATTGTAATCCAAGTTCCAACAGCAAACAAAATTGTTTTACGGTAAGGCATCGCAGTCCACGTGCCGGAAAACGCTGAACATTGCATTTTGTGAAAAGGTGAAAAGAGTGGGAGAAGCATCAATGACGTCATAGAACATCAGCATGCATCATTGCGTGTGTTTGCATCAGAGATGGGTAATTCAGTGTTGAAGCTCTTTTTTTAGTTGTTTTACATTCAGGAAAAAAATAAGTTTAAACGTTGATTTTTTAGACCTGGATTTTTATAAATACTTTTTATCTCTTTTGACAAAAATCAAACGTGGAAAACAACATGGATTCATGGTATAATAAGGAAGTTTCATTTGACAATATTTCATTGTCAGATGTACAATTCATAGATGGGAACCTGTTTCCAATTAAATTACAAAAAATGTAAATATGGATATGCTTATTCGAAATGACTTTATCTACTTAATTTTACCATGCGTAAAATTAAATAAATATTTTTGAAACAAATTAAACGTGAATTTATATAAATATTTTTGAGCATTTTACGATACTTTTAAACTTTAATTTTTAAGAATGTTAAGCATGGATTTTTATGCGTAATTTTGAGAGCGAACTACGTAATTTAAATTGCAATAAGAACATGCTTTAATATACATGCTCTGTTCCACAATCTAAAAATATTACTACAATAACGTATTTTCCTTTTGATATCGGAAAAAGTATCATTATCCTATATTCAAACTTTGTTACCTACTCATAGTTTTCCATCCACAGAAGGTCAATACAAAGCCTTTTGTAAATGGTATTTGATGAATACCAACATATAATATTGAAAAACATTTCCATCCCTGCAATACATCATTGAAAAGTCGCAAAGAGAGTGGGAGACGGCAATAGAGCTTAATCTCTTTTTCCAGATTGAATTGTATTTCCTGCAATTCGGAGAAGTACTTTTATGTGCAATTAATAAAGGTCATTTATGTAAATTACGCTGAAAGCGAGGGAAACAGAGAGCGTAACAAGAAATTTGCGAGAAAGAGGAACTCAATTATAAATAGCTGGAAAATTGCAAATGTTTATCTGCGTCAAATTTGATTTTGTAGTAGGAGCTACAGTTTTTAACTTCGATATCAGCTCCAAGAAGTTTAAAGGCAATGCTATGTTTTTTATGCTATTTTAGGATATACATATGGGCTGCAATGCCAAAGTAATTACAAAATTATTGAAAAATTCCGAAATGGGAGAAAAACCAACAAAGTCTTTTACTATAAAAGACATTTGCAAAGAAAAGTAACTTTCGGCGAAAGAGAGAGAGATGGCTAATTACCTCATTGAACTTCAGTCTTTCTCACAAACTCATTTTTCTTTGCGGTAAACATTGCACATGGAAATAGAGTCTACTATAGCGTACGCTCTTCTCTGACTTTTCTTTTTCGATGACAAATCGTCTTTAGTTTTAAATGTTTTTATTCTGTTTTCAATTAAAAAAGTGCAAAACAAGTGGAAAATTGCAAATGGAATGACAATTTCTGACATTAGCAATGATTTGGCGAATTTCATCAAATATTGTGTAATGACTCAGCAATTGCAATACTATTTTGTTGCTGTTGTTGGATGTGTTTGTAGTTTTGTTCTTTTTTTGACTGTCAGCAGGCACACCAATAACAATAATCCACACAATGCTCTCAGACAAATCGGCAAAAACGTTGAACTTGTGTTATTGCAGCTGTGTGTTGTTGTTGCTGTCAAAATGCATAATGCCAACTGCAGTCCATGACCATTTTGTCTAGAATTGATAATAAGATCTAAACGAACGTCATTGAACAGTGAGGTGAAAAAACTTGAAATAAATTAAAAAAAAAAAAAATGGGAAAGTAATTGTTTCGAAATTATTGCTCTGTTATTTTCTGTTATTATTTCAAATTTGGTATTTGAAGTTCGTAATACATATGACAGAAAATTGTCTATGCAGGACCAGGTCTTCGTATAGGCCGCATATTATATTCGGTATTTTGACGATTTTAGATACAATACTCACCGAAATTGTTTAGAATGTCGTATTTGTAGTTAGTAATGGATGCTACAGGCTGTGACTGAAAATTGTCCATGCAAAACAGGTCTTCGTATAGCTCCGATGTAACGGTACCACCCTATATACGCAATTTTGATAATTTTAGCTACATTATTCATAGTTTATTTCAAGTTTCAAATTTGAATATGGTAATGGCTTTTGACAACAATGCATATGTAGGTCCACGTCGTTTAGACCCTAATTTAACGGCTATATTAGGTGTTTTTAAGATTTACTAGAATTTTTAATGGATTTAATTTTTTGAAAATTTCCAAATCCGTCGAAATGGTGGAGCGTATTTTTTTAACTTGCTCTCTTTGATGTCATCCTTCTAAAATGGTATGTTGTATCAGAATTTTGCGCGTACTCATATCAAGTACGACTTTAACCCTAAAATGCGTTTTTGATATCTATGAATTCCTATTGTCTTGGTAAAATTTAGACTTTTGATGTGTTGTAGGACCTATATAAACAGTAGAATATTTTGAAGTGTTACGATTCCGTGCAAAAGTATTTTTTTTTTATTTTGAAAATTAGTACTAAATAGTATTATCTGTATTTTTGCAAGAATTTCAAGAAATCTTAATCCGAAAATGTCAAAAAAGTTAGAAAAGGGGAAACCTAAAGCCCTCCTTTGGGTACTTTGCGATACTTCTATTTTAAGCTCTACTTTCATAATCTATTTCCCTGTAATTATTGAAAACAATGTCGAATAGAGAAAATCACGTACAATGTGAACATGGCATTAGAGGGCATGTGTATTTTGAGAATATAGTTTAGTAAAAACTTAAGATTTTTAAATTTTTCCACATGTTCATATTTTTATCTTGATCTCAGGAAATTATTTTTTCTTGAGATATCTTGGTTTCCAGCAAATTTAGTTATTTAAGTCGGTTCGGGTATGGATTAAACGCTGATTTATATAAACCTCTAAATAGTTGGAAAGAGGACCATTATGCTCCTAAATTTTTTTGTGTAGTGAGCCTTCGGTATGACTTGCGATTTTCTCCTATGTGGTATGTTTAAAAAACCATAACGGTCTTGCTATCTGTCATATGTAGCGTTGATTAAACATCGTAATATTTTTTTATAAACTCCATTAGATGCTTGCACCCAATCGTTCAATCTTTTGGCAAATAATGAATTTATTAAAAAATCGAGGAAAATCCGTTATTTTGTAAAAATTGCGTGAAAGTTAAAAGCGGGAAATCATCCTTTCAGATTTCTTTCCAGAAATATTATTATCGCTTATGATTTTTAATGTTCAAGTAACTATAATTGTTTTTAAATTCTCTTTGACAGTTTATTTTATTTATGTCATTTTGAGTAGTTGCAAATTTATTTGTCCCTCTTGCTAAAATTCTACATCTTTTTGATAATAACTTTTCCAAACAATACTGCACTGTTGTAGGATGGGATGTACGGGAGGGAATGCATTCCCCTTTAACAAAAAGCATATATAAAAAATTTATTTATTCTACTTATTATAATCCACATCCAATAACAATTTATTTACATTTTGTAAACGTTTTTTATATAAAAAATAAATACCGCAAAAACAACCTTTGGTCCGACTGTACTTGAAAATGAATTTTTAATGTCTACAAAAAATAATTATATTAATTATAAAAAACAATAGTGTAAACAAATCGGTGGAAAAGTCGAATCATCAGAAAAATTCTCATGGAAATTTTCTAAATCACGTGCGATCGTAAGTTCTTATTTGATGTGTACCCAATGTGATGGTGGGCATAATGTTTATTGTTTAAATGTGGCTATTGTGTTGAGGGTGGTACAGGTGGGTGGATTTTCCCCAAACCCACTGATATAAGATTTGATTTAGAAATATTACTCATCGCGGAAATTGTTATATACATTTTTGTATTTGATCTTCAAACCGTACACCATTGGGAATCATCCACAACCCAGATAATGGTAAAACTACTAAAGGAGAAAAATGTTACATACGCTCTGAGGAAAAGTCGAATCATCAGAAAAATTCTCATGGAAATTTTCTAAATCACGTGCGATCGTAAGTTCTTATTTGATGTGTACTCAATGTGATGGTGGGCATAATGTTTATTGTTTAAATGTGGCTATTGTGTTGAGGGTGGTACAGGTGGGTGGATTTTCCCCAAACCCACTGATATAAGATTTGATTTAGAAATATTACTCATCGCGGAAATTATTATATACATTTTTGTACTTGATCTTCAAACCGTACACCATTGGGAATCATTCACAACCCAGATAATGGTAAAACTACTAAAGGAGAAAAAGGTTACATACGCTCTGAGGACACTACTTTGCTCAGTGAATACGGGAATCTAAATATAGTAAAAATGCCACCATTAGACGGCAATTCAAAATCAACGTTTTACCTAATCAGAAGCTGGCAACCATGTTACTATTGTTTACTCGGCCAACTTCACCTTATTAATGACGTTCTAAACTGTCTATCTACTACTAAAACTACTAAAACAGAACGCCATATTTGTGAGTGTTCTCTTTATTTAGCTTGCGAGTTTTACTGCGAACACATCTTATAACTTCTTCTTCTTCTTCCTCTTCTATATCTATAAAAGAGGAAAATGTTTGTTTGTTTGTTGGTAATTTATGGACTCGAATCCCGCTGAACAGATTTTCCTAAAAATTTTCAAGTATACTAGAACATTGCCTGAAAGTAACATAGGCTATAAAAAAATTTGAAATTCCACTTGGAACTGGAAATATGGCATCAGAATCGGAGGTACCTCCCGAAAATTTAGATTTTATATGCACATATCTATTGATCGATTGCAGATACAGTCTCCAAATTTGGAATGTCAAATCATATTGAAATCGGTTCAGATTTGGATATAGCTCCCATATATATTTTCGGCCGATTTCGTTTGTTTGATGTACAAAACACGGTACGTATGTCCGATTCCAATGAAATTTGGAATGTGTGACGGGATTTGATCAGAAAATAAAGTTGTCAAATTACATTGAAATCGGTTCAGATTTGGATATAGCTCCCATATATATTCTCTGTCGATTTCGTTTATTTGATGCACCAAACACGGTACGTATGTCCGATTCCAATGAAATTTGGCATGAGTGACTAAATTTGGTACAAAAATAAGTTTGTCTAATTATATTCAAATGGCTTTGAATTTGGATATAGCTCCCATATGTATCTTCGGTCGATTTTACATATTTGATGCACGCCACTCGATATGGTTGTCCGATTCCAATGAAATTCAGAAAGAGACACGAAATTTGGTATCAAAAAAAAATTGCCAATTTATATTGAAATCTGTTTAGGTTTGGGTATAGCTCCTATACATATATTTCGGCCGAATTCATGTATGTTATGTACCAATTGTACGGACCAATGTTCGGACCTATGAAATTCAGATGTGTGGCGGAATTTGGTAACCATAATAAATTTGACAAATTTTGGAAATTGGTTAAGATTTAAGCTGCCATATATATATTCTCGGCCAATTTAGATATTTGATGCACCAAACGCGGTATGTACCTCCAATTTCAATTAAATATGCAAGGTGTGGTGGAATTTGGTATAAAATTAAATTTTGTCAAATTTTATTGAAATCGGTTCAGATAATGGTTTTATTAAAAAGCATTGACCCACAACACCTTTGCATTGCTACGATTATTACCTTTAATTCTCTAAAGCAAGAGAAATGCCATCCGAAATAAATCCGAAGGACAAACTCTTCGTGTACGCGGACTAAATTTTGGCATGTTTTTTTTGCTTTTCTCATGGTCAGCTGTTCCTGGCATGTTCCCGCGTTGGTAGACCGAGCTATTTGTTTGTTTACGCATTAAAGTATTACAATAATTACGTTTTTTTTTAACTTTTGAATTTGTTGTATTATTTTTTTTAATCCAAAAAAATATTCGTATATGCAATTTTGAATGCATTTAAAATCAAAGGGGTAGCTAAGAGCACCGGGTTCAGCTGGTTTAAATATACAAACGAGTAGTGCCATGGTACAATAGTTACAAGGTAGGACAGAATGATTAAATCTGAAAAACACAACCCTGGAGCTAGAGCTTTGTAAAATTTAACAATAACAAATGCAACAAGTTGTTTTTATACCCTCAGCCAAATGGTTAGAGAGGCCATGACGTCTCTTTTTGGACCAATTCCGTTTCAGGACATTTAGAGTCGATAACTCTCGAAGGGAGTATCTGATTTTATCTAAACTTGGTACCTCGTAATATTATTATCAAATTTATATCGAGTTCGGAAATGGGCAATACCGGTCCACTCCTTCTGGTACCTCCCCCACAGAAAGAGAAAGGATAATCTGATTTCCTAATAATCCTAATCCTAATATTTCTATCAGTGCTTCGTCAGATGCCAAAATGGACAATATCGGTTGACTCCATCAAGTACCTCCCCCCATAGGGTCAACATTTTGAATAATTATAACTTTTATAAAATGTGATATAAAAGACTGTTTTTCTTCAAATTATACACATCACTATATTCTATTTCCCTATATTTCCCTTCTATATACGATTCTCATCATATTTCACACATACCATTATTTCTACTAACTAAAGATCTGCTGTGAAGATGGGATATATCGGTCCACTTCTTCTGGTGCTACCTCCACAAAGGGTCAAAATTTTGAATATCCATGAAGCTCATAAAACGCGAAATTAACATACGATTCCATTCAGACTTACTACATCTCAATATTTTCATCAACACAAAATCTGTTATATAGATGGTAGAGATCGCCTTATTTCTTTTGGTACCTCGCCCACATAGGGTTCAAGATTTTGAAAAACAAAACGCTCAAAGATAGTGAAATCACTAATTACATTTACATATACAAACATTTTTGCTTACACAAGATCTGTTGTGAAGATGGTATGTAGTATCTGCGAACATTTTCAAAACTTCATAACTTGCGAAGCAAATGTAATTTTACCCATAACAATATTTTTATCTGTTTTAGATGAAGTATGAAAATGGAATACTTCGGTCGATTATATCTGGCACCTCACACACATTTCAACATTTTCCAAAAAATTATCACATGTTTCATATAAAGTGAA